CTACCCGAGAATCGGAAAAGAAACGGAAGCCGCGAATCTGCTACAACTGCAAAAAGGAAGGGCACATCGCGATAAACTGTAAGCAAAAGTTTGCTTTTGCAACAATCCGAGAATCGGAAAAGAACATGCGGTTGTTAGAGCCGTATCTCAAAGAAATTAGTGTCAATGGGAAAACGTGTCGAGCACTTCGTGACTCAGCGGCAACCATGGACGTTGTCAATCTATCATTGGTGTCTCCGGATGACTTTAAAGGAGAATGCGCGTGGATCAGGCAAGTCGCCGAGGAGCAGAGTGCTTGCTTACCAATCACGACGGTTGTCATTGAAGGCCCGTTCGGTAAGCTTCGCACCGAAGCGGCTGTGTCTGTCGCGCTTCCCGATAGCTTTCCTGATCTTTTCTCTAACAACTCAGAGCAGCTTCTCAAAGAACAGGGTAAATCGTTTTCCCAAACTTAGCGTACATGGCCCTCACGTGATCGCAAGCGCGGAAGCTTTCGCGGGAGCTTGATCTTGTTCTATGTGGTGAAACAAGTTCAAAAGCAGCAGATCTGTGTGACCTTGGCGGCGAGTCGACGGAACCTCAAACACGAAATTCTCCGTGCGCGTCGTTTGAGCAGTCACTCGAGCGGCCCGTCACCGAAGCGACCGGCGCGGTTTCCGTAGCAGGGGGAGACGACATGGCGCCATTGAGTCAGAGCGAGAGGGGTGCAACGCTCTCGCCTCTAGCGGAAAGTTGGAGTGAGCTGTCGAGGGTTGATCGAGAAACGCTCATTGGAGAGCAGCGTGAGGACCTCTCGATAAAAGCGCTAATGTAAAGCGTAAACTTGGGAAAAAAGAAAAAGAATGTTTACTTTTTTGAGAAAGCAGGGCTTTTGTATCGGAGCTACACAAATGCGCAAGGTCGCAAGTATGAGCAGCTGTTGGTGCCACAAAAGTATCGTCACCAACTATTGGAACTGATGCATGAAAACGCGTGGGCAGGGCATCTCGGAAAAAAAAAAGACCAAGGCTGGAGTTTCCCTTGAGTTTTATTGGCCGAAATGCTGGAAGGATATCGAAGACTTTGTACGCTCATGCGACACTTGCCAGAGAGCGGGGAAATCCGCGGACAAGTGGAAGGCACCCATGAAGCTTTCTGATACCCATTATGAAGTGAAATTAGGAAGGCGGCCGAACAAAGTTTACCACAGTAACTTGATGAAACCATACGTTCAACGTCAAGCGGTCGTAAATCTGCTGTTGAATGCTTAAGAGGAACAAGGAGCAGAAATTTTGAGTTTTAGTGACGTAATCGAAAGGGGATCGGAGGTAAACTTGGAGCAATTGAACCTAGGGCCTAGGTTAAGTGAAGTCCAGAAGGAGGTGTCACGAAACGAGCGCTCAAAAAGGGCGCGCCGCCCAATTCTCGCGACGAAGCGCCGAGAGGTCAACGATAAATAAATAAAAAAAAAAAGAAAACAAGCATCCAAAGACTCCCCGGGCGCGCGTTCCTCTCCCATCGGAAGCGTGGCTTCGCCGACGAACCTCCTCTCATCGGCGCCCGAGCAAGCCCTGGAACGTTCTAGATGGAAAGGGGCGTGGTGATGCCGGGTTGCGTCATCCGTCGCGGACGGCCTTCGAACCGTCTCGCCCTCTCCCCAGCCTTCGCTGCGTATCGCGCCAACAAAATGATGAGAACTTTCTGGAATATCGCGTGGAAGGTATATAACCGAGCAGCGGAGATGGGAGATCAGCAGAAGAAGGAAGTTAACGCCAGAGTGCGTAGGGTATCCCGCCGCGTCTGTCGGTGAAGGTTTTGTCCTTAGTGACAAAGCAGGAGAAGAAGAAAGTATGCGCCAGAGTGCGTAGGGTGTACCGCCTTATGGGCGAAGCCTCTTGTCTTCCGTGACAAAGGAGGAGAAGAAGGAAGTGGAGAAGAAGAGGATTTCCACCTGAGGAGTGAAGACTCGAGCTACAGGCGAGAGTGTGTGTCTACCGCTATCGAGCGAAGACGCGTGGCAACAGCTGCGTGTGGGAAGCCAACGTGTTTCCGGCGAAGAAGTTTGAAGCTTGGAGAGCGGCCAATTGAAGTCGCGAGGTTTCCGGGAAGAGAAACTTCGGGGGCAGCGGAACGACAACAACGCTGGACTTTGAGTGAGTGATTCTCGGAAGAGTATCATCCAGACTTCTGTTCCAAGAACTTTGGACTGAATAAGTTTTCTAACTCTTTAGTCTTTAAGTGTCATGGTTGTTCGATGCATGCGACTGCGTTGTAGTGCGTATTGTTGTCTGTGTCCGTTGTTTCGAGTGTGGCTGATTGTACTGTGTAGTACACTGTTTGATTGGTGACATATTGTATTCAACTATTGTAGAGTGTGCATACTTGTGTATCGTTTTGATCTGCCATAATTGAGAATATGATTTTGTTTTGTTTATCAACTGTCGGCTCTGAATTGTTCTTTGGGCCACAGCCGGCGTCCGCTGGCGCGCCAAATAGGACCACTTCTGAATTATCCACGCTTTCGTGGTGCGGTTCGGGGGGCCGATACTTCGGCCCTTGGAATTAACCCGACGATCGCCTTTCTAATTAACGGGACCCGTGACAGGAGGACCTGAGAAGGAATGTTTCTTTTCATGAGATATCTGGACTCCCATATTGTAGTTACACAGATGTGCAACGTCGCAAGTACGAGCAGCCCTTAGTACCGCATAGGTATCGTCGCCTAAATGTGCCGGTTACTGAGGTGGAGCATGATACACCAACAGCACATTTTGACGTTTGCTACAAAAAAAAAAAAGCTAAATGCTAATGCAGACGCATCGAGCCGTGCGTATAGTCAGTACCTTCTCCACCTTCCGGTTTCTCGCTGGCAATTCGGGGGAAAATTTTGTCTTCATCACGGCCTTAGCTGAGCGCTCTCGTCCAGAATGAGCTCAAGGAGCCAACTTTATGTTCTATTCTATTTCGTTATGTTGTTGTACGTGTAAAAAAATTCAGTTCTCAATTTAAGAGTCTTGTGTCCCACATGTGCCTCTTGATGTAGAGGGAACGAAATTCCGATAGACACGTAGCTAGGTATATGTTGTACTATACTTTGTCTGGTGTTCTGTCGGGTGACCGAGGGCACTTGCTTGTGTCGTGTGTTGTCTGTTGTCGAACCGTTCTTGACAAGTTGCAGAACCATCGACAAGTGCTGAAACCAAAGATCGCCAGAAGAGACGAGCGAAGCTGGTCGACAAGTTGTGGCGACACGCCAATGGAGCTGGGATCCGTCCTCAAGAATAGGATGTGTTCCCGGAACGGAGTCTGGAGCTGCATTCTCCCCATGGCCCTGGAGGCGCACCTGGAGGGACCTGGCGAACGAGCGCGCCTGACATCCGAGCAACGTGGAAGCAGCTCGTCTTTCCGGCGCATTGTCTGGCCGCGGGAGTGCTGTTATGCCTGCGAGTCCGCAGTGAACGTCCATGCCTCTGAAAAAGGCAATCTGTGTCAAGGCCAGCACGCGAGCCCGCCTGACGCGAACAACTCAACGGCATCATCACGCGGTGGTGCCTCTCTGCCGCGCACGCACAGTGAGTCACCTCAGCTAGCGAGCCCGTCAGGCAAGCAATAGGCGCCTTCCTGTCTGGCGAGTCTGACGCAATGCGCGGCGACGTCACTCGTCCTTGGGTGCAGCCACCTGCAGCGCAGCCTCTCCAGATTCGATGAAAAAAGAATGACGCGGCCCAGCGGCGACCCCATTGGAGGATTCTCCCCTGACGACGAGCGGCGCTTCTGGTTGGACATTTGGTTATTCAAAGAATCCACCCGGTGCATATAAAAGAAGCCCTGCGGCGCGTCGCGAGCAGTTGAGCTATGTGTTAGCAGTTGATATGTATGTCAGAGAGTTTAGCTATGTGGTAGCAGTTGAGCTATGTGTTAGCAGACCTATGTGTTAGAGAGGAGAGCTCGGCTCTTCGGGTCTCTAAGCTGTCGGCCCCCAGTGCCGAATTTGTAACGCCTCTGTATATATGCTGTACATAAACCTTGTTTAACTCGCTGTCGTCTCGTCCGCTCGTGTATCAGCTCTGCGCAGAAGCAGTCGCGAGCTGAGAAACCTACGCTACCAAACGGCAGGTGACCGTGTCGACGGAGATCGGAGCAGTGGCGCCTTCGGGACCGCGCTGGCGTCGCCGTCTTTCGAAAGCGCCCTTCGTAACGTCGTCGGAGGCGCGCTTCGCAACAGCAGCGATGCAAGGTCATTTCGCAGGTAAACACAGCTACGGGCGTCTCTGCGCTGGCTCGCTTCGCTTCCACCTTTGCTCTTCACATCGATGGCATCGATGAAGTAATTATGTATGCTGACGCATTACATGCGAGCGCAATGCTTGATAGTGTTGTCAAAAACAAGCGCTCGACGATGAGCTCGCGTGTGAACGGCGTAGGCGACGGCCGGCGCCCGCCATGCTAGGCCTACCTGTCGGAGTCATGAATAATCAGCTGTTGCCGTGATTACGACGTGCTTGTCGTTCACAAATGCGATTTATTAATTATTTGGGGGGGGGGGGGACAACACGTGGCTGTGTAATGTTGTTTGTTTTGAGCCTGATTACGAGGATACTAAGTCGTTCGACCCTGCATGCCGAGGCGCTGCAGGTGGGTGGAACCTGCTGTTGATAGCTTCTTCGCTCCCCGTGTGTCCCAAAACGTCGCATGCGGCACGCCGCACCATGCGACACAGCATGCCGCATCGCACGGAAAATCGCACGTCTGTCTCGCGCTTTATATGCATGGATCATTCGCAGTTCTAATGTTGCGTGGTTTATTAGAATAATAATGAAAAAAACTTCTACACGCAAGTGTGTTGACCGAGCGAGAGTGGACGTGGCCCTAAATAACTACACAAACCGGGGCCGAACAAAAACGTTAGCGCTCTCTAAATGGCCAAACAGTTTTGACAGGCATTGCGAATGTTGTTCGCGTGGCCGTTTCTGGCTTGGCCCACGATGGCTACAGCTGCTGGCAACAGCCGCTTATCAATCATGGCCGCGTCCGAAGCATCGGTCGCGTCGCCACAAAAAATGTCCGTGCTTCGTCGGTTTGTTGTCCGCGTTTCGTCATTCCGCGTGTCAGTGGCGTCAAATTGACAGACCTACCTCGACCAAGTCTTCACCGCAGCACGTTTTAAGATACCGAAGTGTACGGAGTCACATCGCGGCATCAATGGTTCCGTAGTGGCCTCACGCGCTACCACCAGTCCGTGCGTGCGCGCGCAAGCGGTTTTGACCCATCCGTGGAACGGAAGGAGTGTGTCGATCCAGTCGCCATGCCCAAGCGTAAGCGTGAGTTTATACTGGACATATGGGGAGGTCCTCGGAAAAAGGCGAGCGTACTTTCTGCCAACTTGCGTTTGGCCAAGAGCTTTTTCTCCGGCTCGAGTATCAACTACCGGACCCGGTGCACAAGCGGCGAGGATCGCCTCTGCGACATCTTCAAAGACCTGAACCTGTGGAACGAGTTCTTCTGGCAAGTGGGCCTCGAACTGAGGGAGCTCACGCCGGGTCAGCTGTCCCTGGTTGAAATGCACGGCGCCTACGTTCCCCTGGAGATGCCGGAACAGAAGCACGAGGCTGCCACTCTATTGCATCGCTTGCTCACGCTTCACCGCTGCATCGTTTCGGTGGACTTGAACGGTTACATATTCAAGGGCCATCACCAACTCATATGCGATGCGCTGCGGAAGAGCCCCAGCATTAGGAAGCTCAAGCTGTGCCTACTCACCATGAACACGTACGCCTCGCAAAGCTTCTCAGCCGCGCTGCCGCACCTTAAACGCCTTCGTGAGCTGGAATGCCGGCAGGTGCACTTCGACCGCACCTTCCTAGACGGCCTCGCCGAGTTTCTGGCGAGCACCGAGTCCCTCACGACTCTTACCATGAGTCACCTGCACATTGAGCGCGAAGACGCGGTAGTCATCCTCCAGGGACTCAAGCGAAACAATACCATCACAACGCTGTCCCTCAACACCTGCATACTGAGCCCGGTCTCATCCCGGTGCGGCTTCATGTTCGCAGACTACCTGCGCGAGAACCAAACGCTGCTCACGCTGAGCGTGACGTCACGATACCTGAAGAACGTCATCGAGCTAAGGCTCATCATTCGGGCGCTCTTTCACAACCGGACCCTCTCTGAGCTCAACCTGATCCGCTTTTCCCTTGACAACGAGAACATCCAGCTCATTACCAGGTTACTAGGCCAGAACAAGACGCTCAGGAGGTTCCACATGGTAGGCTGTGTCTGGTATGAGCGTGCTCCACAGTGCTGCATCAACTCGAGTATGCAGCACATGGAGAACTTCGGCAACGTCTCCAGCCGAATTCGTCCCTGGCTGGTGGCCCTAACTGAGAACAAGACGCTCGATGAGCTCACATTGGACCTGTCCTGCTTCAATTCGGACGAGTGCCGGTCCTTCTTCAAGGCGCTCGCCTCCAATGCCACCCTGAAGAAGATCACCGTCGAGCGTCTCCGGCGCAAGGACGTGGCAGAGATATGTCGGGCCCTCCGGGAGACTGGCATGCGAGAGCGATTTTTTCTTGGCATCCATCATGTCATACAGGACCCTGTGGCAACACTCACAGAGTGCAAGGAGTTGTCTTGTATTAGCGTTGACTCGACCATCTTGCACGACTTCGACCCACTGCACACCACGCTGTGCCTGCTTCCCTCGTGCAGTCATGTCACCTCGCTCTGTCTGAGGGTGAGCCAGGAGCTGTTCAACAACCGGGTGAGCTCCCTGATCGCGCAGTACATCACGGGCACTACCGTGCTCCGCGAGCTGGAGCTGACCTTCTTCTTCGACTCTGGGAACTGGAACGCCGTTGACCGCCCCGAGCGGGCGCTGGTGCAGGCACTGTCTATTAACAAGAGCATACGCAGGCTGTTCATTGGGGGTCTTTGCTTTGACGAGACTGAGACTGGCATGCTAGCTGACATGCTCCAGCACAGCCGGACACTCTGTGATCTTTCCTTCTACCCGGACGACTACAAGTCGGCTGTCCTGCTTGTGCGGAAGCTGTCGCCCACCTTCTCCACAAACTATACACTCCTTAGCATGCGCCTGAGCAAGCGTCGCGAGCTGGGTGCCGACTGGTTCACTGTCGCGGATGTGGTGCGGCGCAACTTTGCGCTAGTGACGCGTGCGGCCCACTTTGTCGCAGGGTCAAGGCGCAAGTACTGTGCTGCAGCTGCTGAGCTGGTGCACTTCAACCCCGCACTGGTGACGAAAGTGCAGGAGCTCGCATCCGTTGACGAAGGTGAGGCCATTTTGCGGATCAAGAACAGCCTCAAGAGCTTTTCCGAGCTGGACGAGTTCATGCGCATGGCCGGGGTGGTGAAGGAAAGCGTGTCTTGCCACAGGCGCGATGATGGTCAGACGCAGTTAGTCGACCTTGGTCGGGACTGCTGGCTGTGCATACGGCAGTACCTCAAGGTGGGGGACATCCTGGATTCGCATTAGGCAGATCTTTGGTGCGTGTGCCGTAGCTAAGTGGAGTGGGTGCGAAGTTGCGTGCCGTCTTTTCAAGCACCAGCACTGCACACACCTGCCTTGTGTACAAGTACATGGCACTTCCTGAAGGCTGGTGCCGGGGCTGACTTTTGGCCTTTTTCTTTGCTTGTGTAGCCAATCCAAATGTGAGTTCTGCACTTTTTGCGTCACTGTTTGGAGACCGAATTCATTCAGATGGTGTTTCCTTGCTTTCAGAAATTGACAGAATCGCAGTAGTGTAGTTTGACAACCTTTCGAGGGCGCTGTTATTGAATCGTTGAAGTTTTCACATGCGATAGCTTTGAGTATAGGCAGAGCAGTTTTCACTGCGGTGACGGCACCTGCAAAAGCTGTGTACTGCTGCAATTTGGTGTAAGTTTGCTGCTGTCTCGACACACGTGGCCTGCTACACCTTGCTGTTGGAGGCAGAGGCAGTTTCGTTTTTTTTTTTATGTTTAATCCTCACCGTAATATTTTCCCTCAACATGTGTGTGTAGACTGGTGTGTGCCATTGTAATCACTGTGCTTGGCGTTCGTTCAGCCTGAATGCTAGGCTACGTCACCCAATCATTGGCTAATGTTTCGAGATGTGTGAGAAACGTTGGTTGACATACTACTGTTAGCAGAGGATGAGTTTTGTATTTCTTTTTCTGTAGCTGCGGGAGTTGTTGCAGCTTCTATCAGAGCTCTTGCAGCGTTTGTTGGCACCTGTTTCACCATACTTGGGAACAGTTTAGTTTCCCCGTGAAGTAATGTGCAGTCCCCCCCCTTCCCCTCTTTTGTTTCCCGGCCACAGTTATAGTCGGTTGCGACGTGAGAAATGTCAGCTCCACATACGCTTATCGCTGACCCTCCTGCTGAAAATTCGCATATTTATATGCTCCATTCAATAGTGCTTATCATCTTCGTGACGTCAAGCGCTTCTCGAGTGCTTCAGATAACAGACTTTTCCCATTTGTCACACATTTGTGTCGCTGGTTTTGGTCAGGAACATTCTTGGGCAAATTTTGCGGTCATTCTGACATTGCGGATGAGCAACACGTAATGTTCTATGAAGTGACATGAGCTTTTAGCTCTCAATATGCAATTTGCAGTGGCTGTCGCAACTTCCTCCGGGACATTCTCAAAGAATCGCTGTAGGATGGGGACAGTGCCTATAAAGATCGTAGACAGGAGTCTGTAAATGTGTAGGTCTAGTATCGTGGCAGAGGAACGGCAAATGAGGACTATCGAGCTTTATTGGTTCATTACCCTGCCAAAGCTGCAAAATGCCAAGTTTCACCGTGGCAGGATCCTGTGAAAGCCCGAAAAAAGAAGCAAGAAGTGAAAAAAACTGAGGGCAAGGTGCTGGTCATCCTGCATGGGCTTCTGCAACGTCGTGCGGTCACCTTGCACAGGCCCCTGTAATTGCTTTTGGAGGGAAGCTTTATTTGGCTAGATTAAACCGAATTCGTTTTTCCCGTGTGCACAATAACACCTGGTGCGCATGTCTCACAGAAATTGAGCGAGCCTAACCACTCACCGCTGGTCCAGTAAACATGAAAAGGAGAATACATGGGTAGAAAACACTAAGATTCATGGAGAGGCGTAACCGATGATTGTGAAAGATTTTAGCGAGCCATTAGTATTAAACAAGTTGAATACTGAGGCTGCACATTTCAGCTTCACCGGTTGACCATCTGTATGCCTTGTTAAGGTGGCGTCGTTCTTCAACCGCAGAGCCACTTAGGCTTTTCGTTTAGGGTTACCAGAAAGCTAAAATGGACCTAGTGCACGAATTGCAATAACTTGGCCTGCCTACACAGTCCTTCATTCTAGGACTTGACCATACATGAAGGCAGTTTGCTGTTGGTGATGTATGTTTGGGAGATGCGGATAGTTTTTCAACGCATATCTATGTATCCTAGTGATTTGGCAGGTAAGGAGGTGTGTAGCCAGGACACCTATTGAGGTTGACTAAGTGGATATGGAATACAGGCGTTTCTTCAACATGCCGGTCTTCTGAAGAAAACATAGATTGGCAGAACCTAAAATAGACTGAGAATGGCACACTGATAAACGCAATGGTTTTCGTCTTACTCCAGGTTGTATCACCAAGAATATTTTTCTTGTTAGTTTGTGCTGGGACTGCTTTATGCTCTCCCATAGTAGAGTACCTAGTACTCTGAATAGTTAACCACTTCTTCTAAACACGCAAAACAGACTGAGGTCGACCTGTGGATATCCTCAAACCTTGGCCTCGTGTCAGAATGGGGCAGTGCCTAAATTTTCGTCGATGTGGCCTCATCAGATGTGAGGCTCACGGGACGGCTTTCAGCTCTCCCATAGTAAAGTACGAAGTACTCTAAATCGTTAACCACTTTTTCTAAACACATGCGTGAAGAACAAGGGAGAGAGAACCTTGCTAAATTAGACCACACTATATAGGACAGTGGTAATCAAGATTGCACTAATTAATACCATGTCAATTAAAACTTTGCTAGCAATCTAGGCCCCCCTACAAACTCTGGTGTTTTTCTAGCCTTGCGACACTGGTGCGAGAAATTCGACCCGTTTTTGTTTCTAGAACAAGCGCAGCGCGGCTATTTAAATAAGCCAGACTCCATGTGGCCAGTTTCGGGAAAGCTTTGAAGCTTTGTCGCAGCAAAGCAGCATAAACTGAAACACCATCAACAAATTTTCTGTGTCACACTGACATATAAGCCTCAACATTTCTGCCCAAAATTGAAAAAAAAATAAAAAAAGGGAACAACACCAATCATCATTTTCTCTTCTGTTATAATCTGTTACAACCTGAAAAAGAGCTGCCAGCTCTGCCCACAGATATCATTGTCACACTTTTTGCTGGTAATAAAAGAACCTTAAGACGCAAACATCACGAACACACAGTGGCTCGCCATCAAAGGTGCGATATGGAGTACCACTCTTTAAAATCAATGCGGAGAAAAACTGGACGCCTGGAAACCGTCTCGTACCTGAAGAGAGCACATGTTGACAATTTTATTGAGGCAACTGAACGTCAGAAAGTTGCGATTGTTCCCCTTTAACGTACCAGCATATATTTTCGAAGGCAAGTTTACTCTGTCAAACAAATCTCCCGTATACAGAGAAGGCTCCGAATATGTGCCAAGTTGGTAAATGCCAATTTCTTTTTTTTCATTAAGATCGGTTTACTCATGTTGCACACTGAGATGGGGACACTATCATGACGTCGGGCTACAGTATCGATTCTGGCAGTTTCATTCACCTGTATGGCTAGTAGCAATCGCACCAGGCACCAGAAACGTTCAAACCGGCCGCATGTGCATCATCAATGGAGCCCCAAACTGAAGCAGCCGTTGAAACATTGCGATATCTTCTGGGAGCATGCGAGGAAAAGCTTGTATCGCGAGGTCAGGATACAGTAGGAACCGAAGCTGGCTTTCAAGAACGTAATTAATTTTTCAGGGTGCACTCGTGCTTACCAACACATTCTTTAGGCTCTCGAAGGCTTGGCCTTTCATCTGACATTAAGGAACAGCTGAAAATATCCGTGTCAGTGCTGCTGCTGCGGAAAACGCATCCCGCATAATATGACCCACACGTGCTCCTGACCAACTGCATCTCGTAGCCACTTGAGAGTGAATGTTGATTTTTGAATTTGCTGTTTACTGACCATGTGTTTTTGTTTTTCACTTGTTTCATCCCCAGGGGCGATTTGTTTTGTGAACCCTGGATTTCGCCCTGCTGCTTTGTTTTGTCTGATGTATTTGTGGCACCAAGTACGCCATTACCATGCTGGGGATGTTAGCAGTGCACAAGTGCTGTGTTGTAGAGGTACTGTAAGACAGCGAGTAAAATTCGTCAGAATGCAGTTGCAGTGCTTGGCATTGAGGTTCTGGACATTATGGGCCACCAGTGCACTATGATTGGTTGTTCTTAGCCGTAGCAATTGGCTGCCTCTCAGCCCTTTGTGACTTGGCACCCTCGTTAGGAGATGCGACTTACACCCCTGAACAAGAAAAGGGGATCTTGGGGGATAGTTTTTGTTCATTAAAAACAACACAAATTAGAATTACTACACAAGCAAGCCAAGGATAGTGTAATAAATATAATGAAAATGAAGTAAAGTGGATGAAATGTTGGCTTGCTGCTAGCAGGGACTTAACCTGCGCATTCAAATGATGCGCCCGAAGCTCTACCAACCGAGATAGAGCGGCAGTCATCCACCTTCCCTCCAAAGGGGCGTTGCCAGGGGGTTGGCACACTGGGCCTGTGCCCTCTGACCCCTGAAAAAGTTTCTGGCTACGCTTCTGTCCCTCTGTCCACATCATGTGGTATATATGGGCAAGAGTAGGACAAGAGTAAGAAAATGGGCAAAAGTAGGAAAAAAAAAACAATAGGAGAGGGTGATGATGAGTAGCATCAGTGAAAAAATATATGTGCTGTATCTACAGTCTTGCCTTTAGAGTGTCCTTGAACCATCTCAACCCTTTAAGTTTGCCACGAAAACAGCAAGATACATTGTGCATAGGAATAGTTAGGTTTTCCTTACAAACATCGTCTCAAACTAATTAGCTGCACACAGCTCCAGCCGCCCACTCAGTTGAAGGCCTTATGATAGTGAACGGCTCGGCCGGTGTTCTCCGTTTCACTAACAATATAAAAAATATTTCTTGTTGCTCTATACACAACAAAAACAAATCGTGTATGCATCTCGCCTATGATTTTACTCTTTTTACATGAAAATGAATCATGAATTACTATATAATCATAATTGCATGCTAATTATAATAAACTTCTCCAAGGCACATAAGAAACACATACCTTCATTTCTTAATGGAGTGTAAATACAGAGCCTTAGCGTTACATTGTGCAAACTTGGCGAATTTGCAGACAGTAGATCGTACTTCAAGCCAGAAGGGGCTAAGGAGAGGACAAACTTTGTCAAGTTCAGAATCGTGTAAATGATGAACGACGAAATTGGTTAATCCAGAGCTTTTTTTTTAGTGAAGTGCGTAGATGATGTGGAATGCTGCTGCAGTCCGGACTTCTTATATATGATGTGTGTGCATTTTACATGTGCTCGTGCTACGCCCATATCGCTAGCGGCTGCCCACGAGCACAAAGCACTGGCTTCCGTTTTTTTCTGCTAGCAGTCCATTTTATAAATGCTATTTTCTGCTGCGGGTGTGGGGCTTTAAGTCGCGCCTGAAAAGGAAAATTGCGAATCGGAGGGTTGAGCTTCGCTGAAAGTGATTTTGGAAATGCCTTTAGTGACAGCAGCAAGGCTTCTTGCGTGCGGTGAGGTTTTCTTTTGTAATCGTGTAATATTTTTTTCTTTATTGTGATCATCTTTATAAGAAAATTTTCGTGCTGGAAAGTAAAGAACACATCGATTGTAAGAGCCTGTTCTCTTTGAGAGTGAGTGATGTAGAACTGGCATTGGACAGCAAAGGCGTGTGCAAAGAGAGTCTTTGGTGCAGTGCAGAGAAATATAATTTTTTTTTGGAAATCTTTGCAATCAAATTTTTTCAGTACTATTGTGTTGTCTGTTTATGCAAAAAAGAAGTACTCACTTTTTTGTGAGCTTATAAAATTTATTTACCATCCTCAAGGGGATTAAAACTGTGGTGTGCGTGTTTTGATGGGGGGTCGGTACATCAATCTGTTAGTTTGTGCTTGCGTGAGTCTTTCTACTTGTACGATGTGGCTTATTAACAATAAAAAAATCTTTCATTCGTGAGCTGGTGCACGCATTTGGTCGCCGTTCCTTTTGGTCTTTGGCGTGCTTCACTCGTGCTGCACACTCTAAAAATAAATTGTGTATTTGGGGAGTATTTGTTACAGGACTATGACAGTCACCTACCTCGCGAGGTTTCCTTGTCATATCACTGTAGTTTCGGCACTTTCAGGGTACGAACGACCAGCGCTACCTGTGTGAGGACACTCTTGATAGAAAAGTGGAATAGCTGGGTTTTCAAGAAAAAAAACTCGACAGAGCCAGATGATTATTATAATTGCACGGTGAAAATACTCCCCAAATAACTAATTTTTTTTTTAGAATGTACTTGTGAGATTAGCAACAGTCATTCAACTGGCATATATGCCGATTTTCGACACGTCTAATTTCAACGTGATGGCGTTGAAGAGCTCGTTTCGCAGAAATTCCTGCGGCGGCACCGTTGGTTTTGAGCGAGAAATCATCTTATGCGTGACCGAAAAACCGAGAAGAATGCAAATAAAATAAATAAATGGCAAAAAAAAATGTTAGTGTAGAGTGGGGACCGAACCAGGGTTTTTTGCATGGCAAGTGGAATGTTCTACTGCACGGCCACGTCTCTGCTTGTGAAAACAGCGAGAAAAACTTCCTCTGCCTAGAAATGCAGTGAAATCAGCTTTTATGCTTCACAAACACATGCCTCCTGTATAGATGCTTCACAAAGCTACATGAAATAATGCAGTAATGCCTTGCACAAGCCTGCATTGCCAACGGGCATCAGAATATGCGATTGTCCTAATGGCTCCGCGGTTGAAAGCCGGTACCCCACTACAAAAGGCACTACTGCCCCTATTTTCTTAAGGCCACACAGTGGGAGCATAGCAAATTCGAAAAGGTTTCATACACTAAGTGTTTGAAGTATGCACTACGAATAGGATGCCGCTGTTGCCATCAACTCCTAAAGGCCAAGCTTTAGGGTCCTCTAATTTTTTCCGGGCCGCAATGCACATAGGGACACGTACGCAAAAGAAAACACGAGGCTCTCGGTGACAAAAGTTTCACAGTACGTTTATTTGCCATATTCCTCACAAAAGGGGTTGTTGGCTAAACAGATCAACCCTGCTGAAGGGAGGTGTGGCCGTATAAATGACTCTCGGTGTTCTAGAAAGATACAGAGACAAGACAACTTCAATATGGCCTCACGTGCGTTGGTACCATTCAAAGCATAGGTGCACAATATAAAAGCGAGAAACTCCAAAATAAGAACAGCATCACACAAACTTATCCAGGACGAACTGTGGCTTGCAGTGCTAGGTACGGTGGTGCCACCTAGGTGCGGGCTGCATGAAGCAGTGACGTGAAACACTACGGTCAACGGTGATCGCGCAAGCACGGAAAGTCTGCTTTTCCTTCCGTCAGTGAATTCAAGCCAAAAAATGCAACACTACTAAGCTATGGTTCAATTTTGGTAAGGTGAAACCAAGCTAGCAGCTAATTTTCTCTTGCTGACCTCGCCAAGAAACACTAGTGAATCCCAAACAAACTGTTAGCAAACGGAACGCTACACAACTAGTCGCACAGCCTAGAAATGAAAAGCAGAAGTAAATGTTTATACATGCTAAACTTTTAGGCCAAATTGGACAAAGCCAGTGTTAAATATTGGCCTCGTCATTGTTTTGGATGTTGCTGAAGTGTAGGTGATGGAGCACCTTCACTGCTTTACACCATTTAACAAAATAACATCTAAAATGAAAGCCCACGAGAACGATGATAGAATATTGCATGCAAAAACCATTATATCATTATGAGACATGCCACAATGGCAAACTCTGGAATAATTTAGGCCACTTTAGGTTTTTTTATGCTTACCTAAATCAAAGCGCACGGGCATATGGTGTGATTCCCCTGCATCAAAATAAAACCACATTGGCTACAAGTCATACCCGAAGGTACCACCGTGCCTCCACAAAAACAGCCACTAGCAGATGTGCTAGCAGTATAAAGGCAGCTCGACCTCGTTCAGCCACCATATCTGGGGCGATGCTCCGAAAAGTTTTTTGGGGTGCGTCCCATGTCAGTGTGATGATGAGAAGCTTATGGACCACTGAAACGTGAGCTAAGAAAAACACGCACACCTTGGCCGGTGTGCCAACACATGGACATCATGAATGGCACACAGTGTCCCAATTAATGTATGTCATTTTGCAGAACCACAACATGGCCTGCGTTGATCTGCAATTTGTGTTTGAAAAAAAAAAAAAAAAATTAGACGGGAAGCATTACAATGGCGTGGCTTTTCGGCATGGTCACTGCTGATGCATATCTGAATATGCCTATTAATTCACTCATGGCATTGCAAAATTACTGAAAATCAAAATGCAGGTTTTCTTCTTTTTTTAAATTTCATGCTTAGACACAGGCGCAGCCTCGCACACAATGCCGCCATAGCGATGCACATGTCTGTGCTTTGCAGTGGCTGCCTCCTTAACTACGCCTATGCAGCTACTGTAATCTGTGGCTCGCTTCACGATGATTGAAAATGTCGATACTACTATAAAAATTTACTTAATTTGCAATACTATCACTCAAAGTACTCTATAACTAATAATAATAGGCTAGGTTTAACATCACGAACCCACAATTTGATTACAAAGGTTGTCAGTAGTGGAGGGCTCCATGAATTTCAGCTACTGGTAGTTATTTGACATGCACCTAACTAAGTGTAAGGGCCTTCATTGAAACTGTGACCGCTTCGACCGGGATTCCATAAGGTGAGCCTTTAGGTCATCAGTGGAGCACTGTAACCATGAGACCACCGTAATGGGTTACTCTGTATAACCGACACCACATCTCTATTTAGACAGTGTTGCGTAAAATAAATATAGTTCAAGTTGTTCCTACCGATTCGTCAATCGATTGCCTCAACTGCAAAACACTATTGGCTGTCTTTCCTCCATATCAGTGTACGGACAAAGTGACGCTAACTCTGCCTGTATGACAAGCGTATCGAATGCAGCATGTCGATTACCATTTAACGATTTCTTACACACAAAAACAAACTGATTCTGAACAGTAAGTGGGCATTCGCAAAACTTAACTGGCCAACATCAGGTTACAGTGGTCCAAAGGCTCCCTAGACCGACAGGCTAGCTGTTGTTAAGGTAAGTAAGAGTAACGGCAGACCACCAAACTTCTGAAAACGACGTGCGAGAAACCAAGGCAAGCTCACTGCCAAATCGGCCAGACGCACTATAATCAACACTCACTACAGACGTACATACACGGTGCAAAAGTGGCTACCCAAGCGGCATACCTGAAAGCGCGCGAGAAGCCGTCAGCAACAGCATGTCAATAAACTACAGCAACAACAGCAACATATTATATATATATATATGTATATGCATATGTGTGTATGTATATAGAGGTATAAAATGTGTGATAGACCCAACATCTTCTTCAGTAAAAGAAAGACAACACGCAGGGGTAAAAGAAAAAGCAGATTTCGTCCACTGCCGTAACGAAGAAAGAGGTCACGACGTTTAGTCATCATTTCTCACCGCATGCAACAAGTGAAGTGCCGTACATAAAACTAAAAAAGAACGTGCGGCATTCTTTAGAGGAACAAATTAGAAAGGAAGTGGGATTCTTGCCGAAACGTAAAAATCACATGGCGTACAAAAACTAGAATGGCCAACGTAAAATACGACCAAAGCGCTCGATAAAACGATGCCAGATTGAGCAGACTGGACAGCATGGATCAAGCTTGTCTAGAGCAGTCATGCAGCAGACCTGGTTTAGCCTTGATAATGATGTTAAGCCCGGTGGCCGTATTACACACTTTTTTTTCTTGCCCTACTTCTTTTCGTTTACCACCGGAACAGTATTGGTGTCACCGATTTCACAAGACATGTCCGTCCACTGGCACTTCAGATCCCTATTGTGATTATCCCTATAAAGCGATGCGCCCATACTCGAACCAGCGTGTGAAATGTAACAGCGTAACACAACAAGCGTTAATGAACAAGCCTGAATACACTTAAATACAGGTAGGAAACAACAGTCAAACACAGGTACAAAGGCAACAGTACAGCACAATTGTCGGTACATGCCTGCTGTCTACGTATCGACATTTCACAAGGTGGGCACGAGAAACACTCTACAAAGAAGAAGGAGTAAATCAAATAGGTAAGTGTACCTACGGGGTGACCCTACAAAACTGGGAAGAAAAAAAAAAAAGAAAAAGTAATCACAGACTTCTTTAATCACATAAATGTAGCACTTGCTAAGAAAAGCAGCTCAATTATAAGTGTAAAACAATGTATAGAACCATTTGCCACTAAATAATTCCAACGCAACAACGCAGCCTCAATGACTTGGGAATGTAACGACAGCTAGCCTAGTCGCGGTGCTGCGACTAGGCTTAAACATAACACGCAGCAACATAGTGATACTGTAAAGAGCACCAGCACCTGTTCCCTTCGCTCTATTTTAGTTGGTGATAATAACATTGAATATCAAAAGTGACGTGCCAAGAAGAAACTCACCAATGCGTCAGATCTGCCCCCAAAGAAGTGTCAAGCCTAGCAATTCTATAGTCACAGACTGGCTTGATAAAGGCACATTTGCAAATGTATTGCAGCAGTCCCGTACCGATTACCAGAGAGAGAGATAGAAAAAAAAGTAAAAATAAAAGCGGTATAGCAGTCCGATTCAAATGAAATAGGAAAAGTTACCCCGTCACAGTTACAAGTTTTGATTTAGGGTGACTTCTTACGAATAAATCTTGATATCGCTAATCTGGGTATCACAAAGTACCAAATAAAGAAAGGTCTTGCCATCAATCACAACGCTAAGTATATATACGCTCATGACAAATTTTTGGTCATAACAATTATTTTCACGTCTAATTCTGCGTGATGAGGTCTCACAGTCAAGTTAAGGGTTACAGCTGATCAAGAGATGTTCATTGTTAATACAGCAATTAAAATGCCACAGACCGATTATATGTTGTTTGCTTGAATTTAGGTTTATAGCAATGAGCGATCACTACCTTTCTGTGACAGGTCAATATTTTGCACTGTACAACTTTGTTACTTCATTCACGAATAGTCATTACTTTTTCGACAGTCGTTTGCGTTTGTCAACTGGGATAGAGTAACGGTGTTGCTATAGCACAAAAAGTAAGCCTCGCAGTTTGAAGTTGCCTGAGAAAGTAACTGGTTCCTAGTAATGCTCTTGTTAGTGACTAGTAACTGTCCCAAGTCTGCGTTATTGTCAAAGAAGGGAAATATTGTAGTTCAGGAAAAGTTCCCTATGCAGTGAAACAACTGCTGATTATTCCTATAAACAAAGTCCTGAAAAATGTAACTTTTGCCAAGACCTTCCCAGGTCTTTCAGGTTTCGGTGGCACCTACAAGTATGGTGCCAACAGCCACCACACCGCCTTTGCAAAATTTTAGACTCAACCAAATATTCGGCCGCTCTTATCCGATTCAGCCACGAGTTTTTGGGCGATTCATTGAGATTCACCCATGCAAGTGACCTCATGTGACACGGTTATAATGGCTATCACATTTCCAACTTGGTAATTTGCATATAAGTTCCAGTACACAAGCTTGTATGCAGAACTCCTAAGCCTGGCTCCTAGTTATTATGTTCCCACTCTATGGGTGACCATAGGGCCCACCGCTCTTTCTAATTTGGTTAGGCTGAACGTTTACCAAAAGGTGCTGAATGGCAGACAACGAACTTATGATACCGATAAAACACTGAGATGCAAGGATGCAAACTTAAAGCCTAATTTAAGGATTTCCTTCACAGATTATTACACTGCACAGTTACAATACCAGGGTCTATCCTACTTTTTTTCTTTTTATATTAAATATTCAGGCACTATCACACTTGCATAATAAGATAATCTCAAAGTACAGTGTAGTGCAAACCTAATTTGGGTGTTTTTCAATTTTTGAAATAATATCAACGATAATAACAGGAAAAGGGGGTTTAGCAAAATACCAAGATTTAAAGCTCATTAATATCGCTGTTATACATTAAAAGTGCTGCTGTTGAATACAAAGAAACGCCGGCAAATTTGAATACAGTTTTTACGTCTCCAGCCCACGTAATGCCCACAGTTAAGGCTATGTAAGCATTGATTTGTGGGGTTTAAGGTCCCAAAACCACCATTTGATTATGAGAGACGCCGTAGTGGAGGGCTCTGGAAATTTTGACCACCTGGGGTTCTTTAACGTGCACCCAAATCTGAGTACACGGGCCTACAACATTTCCGCCTCCATCGGAAATGCAGCCGCCGCAGCCGGGCTATGTAAGCATTGTAGCACAATAAATGTAATAATGATAACAAGCACTGTAACTGCAAATCTTGCAGAAAGATTTTTTAGCACATCGTTGTGTTTAGCATAAATGATGAGACTGGTATGCTAATATATTTCATACAGTTCAATTGCCTTTCGCTACAAGCCATCAGTACCTGTGATGATGTAGCAGCTGCTCACAGAGTTACAGCACAATTCCGCTCATTAGATTGTTCTTAAAGCTTTATCAGATTCAATGCAGCAAGGCTACAGTGCTAAAACAAAGTTTTTAGGTGTGGAGGGAGTGCCCAACAAGCTTAGCACAAAGTTTCGTGTACATTTCACCTCACAGCTAGAACCAGCACAAGCAATTAAAGAATTGCTTTGCCCTTTTACTAGTTTGATGAAAGGTTGTCATTTCTTTAACATATGTACACAAAGAGCTTTTAGACAGTTCAAGTAACCCATTCCGCATCTCAAAATGAGTGAAAAAGCACAAAGGCCCCTCCAACACTTCTCTACCGTGAAACTGACAATCGAAATGTCATCAACAAGAATTTCAACCATGCTGCATTGTCACCAGATTGTCTAGCGTCCGAGATTTTGTTTGTTAAGAATGGCGGACACCGTGCTAACATTAGACAGCGCGTGAGGTTGTTGCCAAGGTTCGCGGAAAGTGGACGAACATGACCCTAAAGGTTTGTGTTGTGTTAAAAGGAACAGATCTCTTATCAAAGGGCACGAACTTAAAATTTCAAATGAGCAAACGAAGAAAGCCTGAAAACAAAAAATTATTGTCGAGATGCACTAAACATGCGTCGCACGTAAAGGTAAGCTCTTTTGTCGATGCGTGCATGATATGCGTATAGCACTAATCGTAAAGCCATATTACATAAAAGCTTAACAGGCTTGCTTTTGTTCATAATGAGAGACATCTCACAAGGCAACATCCACATTGACTTGGCAACACGTCCATCAAATCACTGAAAGATCAGAGTTTCAAGCGTGTACACCAAAGCGCTGCACAGAAATGTGTGCAGAATTAAAAAAACAACAACAATGCTACAAGTCTAGATGGACACAAGAGAGCAACGTATAAGTGTATGCCTTTCATGATCATCCAGCGCATTTACACAAATGCAAACTGGCAAGCTGTCATTCTCTTGTCAAGTTATTAACCGTTACGACCCATTAGCATTGCTGTTTCGCGTCATGACATAGGAAAGTTGCTAAACGAGAGCATTGGAAGAGCTGTAGAGCCCCAAGTTTCATCTGCTGAGCACTTCACATGATAGGTCCAGCCTCCTGCATTCGCACGCCGAACACTTACCCTTGCCTTTCAAATTAAGGTTACAGGACTAAGCATTGGGAAAATTGAGTAACTGTAATCCACTGAAGTCACGATAGGTTACAATGAATGATCTCGGCCTACTTGTACACATAACAGCTACATTTAGCTGAGAAACCTAAATTCATATTAACAAACTGCTACCATGCTTAAATAACTTGTTAAGCCGACTGTTTCGCTAAGCCCAACTTACTCTGTGCCCAAGGTTTGTTACGCCTAACGTTAGGCCAAAAAATGGGCCAAGCCTGGGCTAAAAGCAGGTTTTGAAAAAGTGTTGGGCCGCTGAGTAGTGTGTCTATGCAAGGTGTTGGTTACAGTTAAAATTTTTAGGTGCAAGTCACTCCATTGAGGTCATACCATTGTACAGGGCTAGATGACATCAATGTTCACAACCAAAATGCTAGTTTTCTTGGAGTGAGCATGAAAGATTAAAGTGATGAAAGTAAACAAGCAGTACAATTGCACAAGCACTGAGCCCATGAAATGGAAGAGTTCAGCCTACAGTGCTCATCATGTTGTCAGGTTACCTTTTTCGCTATAAGGCTCACAGTCTCCTCAGACATCTCAATCTGGGAGCTCAAAATATGATCAAATATGAGATGGGAACACAGACAATCACAGCACGAGTTATTAACATCTAATCACTCCACAACAAAGTTCACACTTTTTTGCCAGTTGACGACTGCGTGACAGGTTCGAAGGGGATGAAACTGAAGAACAAACAGCTGATACATGGCTATTACGACCAACTGGATGCAAATCGACGACTTAGTACAAGCCCGATAAAGCGTGTTTACCATAAACAGAGACATTTCAATTCAAGCTGCTCGAAACAGCGCCAACATCAGGAATGGACACAAAGAAAACTGGAAATAAGTTGTGACATCATAAGTTCTTAGTTACATTAAAACCAACTGTACAAAGGATGGGGCCCACAGGTTTTTGAGAGACCCAGCTTCACTTTCAATGCCCTCGAAAGAGAAGAGAGAGAGAGAGAGAAAAAAAACAAGCTTCGATTTCAAGAAGCATGACACAGCATGAATAACAAAACAAAACCTCTCATTGAGACAGCAATAAAAATAAAACTTTGGTTTAGTAGCGTAGGCTGTAAAAGAGTACACGAAATGTGACAGGGAAGCGCGACTGGCAGATAGAAATGCTATGCAAATCCCTTTGGTTAAAAGAAACGCTTATTGTTCACTGATCTCACTTAAACGTCCTAAAAATTCACTTCAATATTAACAGAGCTCTATCACTATGTTGTGACCCAGACAAAAACATTTAGTAAAGGTGGCATGGCTTTTTCAAGCAACAATCGAGAAAACTTTAGCACAATTTTCCCTGGATGCAGTCGACGGGGTTTACTGGACCCCACCTAACACGTGGCAGCGCAGAGCCTGATAATTCGTGAATCAACCAATCTTCGCTTGCAAAGCCACGTACAAATGCAAGAGTATGAAAAAAAAAAAAAGAGAGAAACAAACTTTTTCTGTCATTTAGCCGTTACTGCAAGAATTCTTTCCTGACGAAGTGGAGGGAGGTGGTCCTCCATGACTTTCGGAGACAGAAACACAAGTGAGCACTACTTTCGAGCTGTCCTTGTTTGACAAGCCTAATACACGCGGAGTTGTCTCTCGTGTTTGTCGGCCCGGGTCAAATATCGCTGCATTTCGACGAACGAGAAAACTTGTTGCCACCCGAAACTTGTGATGCGTTGCAAATGCAGAAAACGAATCGCCCATGAAACCTTAAGGAGACTATCGTGAGGGTGGCACGGGAAAGGTTAATGCCAAGGGTGATACATATCCACTCTTCAAGGAGTAGAGCTTGTTCCTTGTTTTTCTTTGGAGCGGCTGTCACGCCACAGCACTCTGTGGAAACAGCATATGCCCTGTACGAACGTTTTTTTCTTTCACTTGCAAAACAAGCGCACTGGAACTCGGTGCATGCACTTATGTCAGCAGTTTCTCTTTTACATTTCAATAATGAAATATCGGTTATCACAAAGTAAATGAAAAATTGTCTTGCAATAGATATATAGTGTTAATACTAGTATACCTCTACAACGAATTTTCAAATATAACGAACTTATTTTCATATAAGGTGCAACTTTGTTATAATGAGGTTTGAACGTACAGCAAAATAAATACACGTTTTTCTTCAGCCCAGTGACACACGTGATAATGCACTTATAACAAATATTGAATATGTGTAGCGAAAGTGCCCTCATGTGAAACGTGGTTTCTATCACTTGGAAAAAAACAAACATGGATGCAACAACACAAATCTACAACGGTCATCTCCTGAAACGCTGTCCTAAAGACATTGACAAATGCGAAGTCGCGATATGAGTAAGCAAATACAGGCAACAATTAAATATCACGTTGAATACACTTTTCACCGCCGCCTCAGCAAAACACAGCTATAATGGCTTCTAACAACCCAACTTTTTGCTTCTGACCTCTATCGCTGTCACGAATGCACCGGCACACGTAACGTGACGATACACTATCGAATGCAACGGTCATATATCAACTCGAATACGTCTTCCATTACCTGGAGATAACGAACAAAGCTATAGACACCTATACAAAAATCTAGTGTTTCGGAACACTGTCAATGCGGCAGATATTGGCACACATCACGCAACAGTGTGCCTGAGAAAAATCTTCGAATGGGTCGAAGGCATTGCTGCACCGAAAGCTTTTCAAGTAATGACAGTAGCCTGAGTCAACGTTGACTGGGGCCACAGTTGCACACACTGCCAGAGCTGTCAGGTGTCGCCATTAATGTATTCTAGTGAAGTTACGTTATGCCAACAAACGCCGCTTAACGTACAAGCAACATAAGCTCTTAACAGGGATCACTAGGAGAAGAGTGCGGGAAATAAAAAAAGAATGAGAGTGTAGTGACTAGATAAAGCACGCTAAAACCAAAAATATTTGGTAGACCTATTAGTTACACTCGAGTGACGACAATTTCCTGAGCTAGCTTGTTATTCCTGGTAGTGAAAACGAGCCTGAATGGTTTTCAGCTATACGCAAGCTTTCGCACATAAAGCGATGAAGTGACAAGCAAGACTCAGTTGCAACTTATGTGTGTGAGTGTCAAGCAGCATAGTCAAGGTGGACGAGAAAGTGCTTGTGTTTAGTAGTAGAGTCTTTTAAAATGCACATTTGGGGCTGCAAGGAGTGCCGGCAGGCTCCATCAAAACATAGGCAACACAGACACGAATCAGCTGCATTCAGTGGCCCCCGTGGCACGTCGTTTCGCAATACTTTCGAAAACCACAGTCCAAAGAGATTGTATGTCACTGTTTGTGACGAGTCGGAATTCTGCTTGGACCACATTTCTCTCAACTTCCTCAAGTCGAAGAAAATGTCGGGAAATCTCAACGGTCCGCCCGATTTTGAATCGACGCGATTTGACCGCTTTAACCATGCCAGCACATTGAGACGAGGGCGCGAGAACAAGGGTGAAGTAGAAGCAGACAGACTTCAGTAGTGTCTCAATGCAGTGCGGTACACGTCGAGTCGTGCAGGCCAGCCTAATGACGACCCTTGGTTATGAATGAAGTTGGAGACCGAAAACGCACGCAAACGACTGTACACTGAAGTAAGCTATAAAGTCACGCCGACGAAACTGAACATAACACGACACGAGCAAACGTGGCAACAAGAATGATGCTTATGAAGTGACTTGTATGAGACTCTATATCATATCTCGCAGGCTTCATTAAGGGCTACACCACAAAAAGACAGAAGGCTCGTGCAGTAAACCTTTTTGGCAGATGATTCGCACGTTCACACATACATGAATCACTTTCCTAAGACCTGTAGTCACTATTGTCAGGTTTTCCAATTGACTACGATGCCTGGACAGAGCCTAGACTGACAAATGCTGTTCACACTCGATTCAGGATAACTGGACTAGTGACAAAAACGTGTCCTTAGGACACAATCGCACTTTCAACCACAGCTTTCCTGTTTCTTAAACACGTCAACAAGAATATGCAGGAGGATCACATATAAAAGTCGCAAATGCCTTAGTCGAAGCTATTATTATTAACACTGTCACACTTCATACCCGGCTTACGAGACGTCAAAATATTGAAGCAGTTTCCCAGTCAACACTGTGGGAGACTGCTGTTGTTCAAGCTATAACTTGCAATAACGAGATTTGCTTAATCGATGCATTGGAGTACTGATGACAAAACTGGGCCTAAATCAGCAACCATAACCCACAATCAAGTCTTGCGCCCGTCAACACTGACACACTATTTACTAGGTGTCCACCATCTCCGTGATTCCATACAATTGTGCGCGTATGTGACAACAAACGCTTCCACACAAAGAGCAAAGTTGAGACATCGCCCAGAAAGCTCAGGTTTTCAAGTAGACACATGACAAGAGGGCTTGCAGCCGAAAGCACACGATGCTGCTTACCGAGAGTGCAGCAGATTTGAAAGACACACCATTCTTGTATTTCCAACGTTTTTTTTGTCCCGTCGACCATTCTCTCGCTACGAGAGAGCGTGCGACCATAAAATGCGAAAGACGAGGCATCGGCCATGGCGATTCTCGGAAATGCGCAACAACAACGATGCTCGCAGCTGGCACCCGCGGAATGTACGATCTTTGCTACGGTCCGAGTCATGCGCAACTACCAGTCGCAGTCACGTCGTGACCACTCGTATCGCACTAAACCATCACTCGAAGACACAACGCGACACAAATGCAGGTTCCGCGTTAGTGCAATTCTGAACGAGAATGTCTTTTCAATCGTTCGTCTGACCTGCGTCTTTGCCACGACGGGAATGAACAGAGAGAAAGATTACAGAGAGGAAACTGTGCAGTGTGTCTTGCGCACAGTAAACATCACTTGTCAGAGGCGCACATTACAGTGACGATGCGAGAGCAGCATATTCATGCAAACGCACCCTGCAAATTTTGTAATCTTAATGCGGGAGTCAGCAACAGCCAGTGGAGGTGGCAATCAACGCCTAATTATGAACGCATTTTGTTCTAGGACAGAACAGCTTGCTAAAGCAGGCCTGGAAACAAAAGCTAATATAAAGACTTCGAATGTGCGTGGCTTTACCAAGCATTTCCGAGTTAGGCTCCCAACAGTGTTCACTGAGGATCACAATAACACTTGAGTACTCGTGCTTAAGGTTCACATGCCAAAACCACACATACAAACACAATGCCTCTACCACAGGATTAATTAACAAAGGAGAAAATTAAAGTAAAAATCTAATTTCCGCATGTCACGGTAAAATCTCCACCAACGAAGTCATGGATTCGAGTTAGGCTCTCAACAATGTTTGCTAAAATCTTTCATGTTTTGGTACCATTGGCTCAAAGAAATTTCCTGAAATTGGCATGTCAAGTCTATATGCCTCTCAGAGGATAATGCACTTCTGTACTGATTAGGACTGATTAGGAACTCTGTAGGCCCTAGTAGACACCGTCATAATCTATGACATTGCGGCATTTGGTACAACAATTTCAAGGTGGCGTCGCCCACTACCATTACTTTTTTGCACGTTTTCTCATGTACTGTGCATCCTTTCAATTTCGGAAATGCGAAAAAATAATTTACCAATACGAGGAAGATGGGTTTCCTCTTTGGTGCCGCGTAAGGAGAGAGACTCGAAACTATCTAGTATTTTTAGTGCTAAGAGTTTTGGTCGCTTTTGCAGTCCTTGTCTTGGCATTATGCTCTACAAAACCCGCACACACCACACTATCGAGTCTCGATAACTCACAATCCACGAGTGGCGTCGCGCCCGTTGCTTGGCACAGCACTTGTTAACACAAAGAAAGTGCGCGCTCGTCTCGAATAGGGCAGTGCTTTTCTAAGAAATGCTGCGATATGAAGAGCACGTATCTATAATAAGTTTTACCACTTTCAGAGTCAAATGATTCTACTTGGAGATATGCCATGAGGTTGAACAGTTGGGAGCCTTGAAAATTTCAAAATTTCAGATCCTGCAACTGGGGATGAAGGGCACTGGCTAACCAAATGTCTAGGCAGGCTTCCTGTGACAAGCTATAGCGTACGAAAGAGCTTGTTGCTGAGCTAGATGATTCATGCTTAGGGCAAAAAACGGATAAGGCGCAGAAAAAAAAAAAAAAAACGTGGACGAAGCGTAAAAACGACCATGCCTGTCGGTTCGCTTCTATGCTTTGTCCCTTTCCTCTTTGCACAGCATCTGCTTTGTCCTTATGTTACATTCCACCAACGATACCGTCAACAGACAACGAAATGTGCACGAACACGAAAACAAAGCGTGAAGCAACCAGCAAGACTGGATTCTTCGGCAAAAGCATTAACACGCCTCTTTGAAATTCATGACACCTGCAATAAAAGTTAACAACAAAAACAACCTTGGCGCTAGTTCGATCGAGCAACCGCATTTGTGCGTTAACAGTGTAAGCGTTCACTACCTTTGCAGCACATCTAAAATGCCCTGCACTCATTTTAAGGCAGGAGGGCTATCTGCCGGGCTATCTAGAATGCATATAGTGTCGATCTGTTGTGCTAGCGTAAAAGCGCCATTTCAACACCCCTCTTTCGTGGATTGGAGGAAAACATGGCCGATCACCGTGATCCAAGCTAGTGGAAACTACCTCCTCTCGTGCCGACTAATTACCAGCACCCCCTGCGGGGCGCACCAGTTCCAACTTTCCCCAAACTTTCGCTTTCCTCAAATGCTGCTGTACGGCCCATCCTCGCCTCATCTCTTTTTCAACATTTTCAGGCGAAGAAGAAGTTGAGGGCTCGGTTGACGTCGTAGTCGGCTGCGAGGCTGACCTGCACGAGCGCCTCGCGAGGCACCGCCTCACCGACGACGTCGCGCAGCTGCTCGACGCAGACCTCGAGCTGCGCCGAGTCCTGTGTGAGCGGGAGCTCCTCCAGAGAGCTCCAGGCGCTGGAGTGCGCGACTCCCTGGTCCGCCTGCGGAATGTGAAAAACCTAACAGTGAGCTTACTTTCGCTCGCGTTACTTATAGATATGTAATTAAGCGTTGGTCTGTTCTTGTAGCAAATGTTTATTTCTAAGCAAGCAATGAGTGCGTTTGCATGCTTTGAACTCTAAAGAAGCACACTCAAGTGAAACAGCTTTGGAGCTTAGCTTAAAGGGTACCTGAAACCGTTTTTTCACATTCCGTTTTTGATTATACCACTACTGGAGCAAATCACCCCCACTAGAGTTCAATCAAAACACAAATTATCAACGAAGCTACAAGTACTAAAAAAGTAGCCTCCTCCTCCGCTCCACCTTCCACCCTCAATTGCCCTCAAGTCTTCCTTCGAGCGCACGGAGCAAAGCTCCGCCTTCACGGCGCCTACATCATGATGTGGTGTGAGACCACATACGCGTGAACCCCGCCGCTGATCCGATACTGGCAGTCTGTGCTACGCGTTCCACAGCCAATCAGATCAGCTGGAAACGATGACTTCAGTGGGGCAGAGCGTTTCGCTTGGTGTTTGGGCGGTTGAAAATGCGTTTGGCTGAGTCGCAGGGATCTGTGATCTGGAGAGATTTGCAGCTTCAAAGCGTTGTAATAAATTACAATGTTTATGCAGAGAGCTCAAATCAGTCTCTAAATTACCCTTAGGACTTGGTCTATCGGCCAAATGTATTTGTAAAAAAATCATCAAAACCGTTTCAGGGTCCTTAGGGATGATTTCCGCCGAGTTCTTTAGGGTGCATTAAAGCATCAAATGGCAGTAACGTTACATTACTTCCACATGTGCTACTGTATTTCACACATGTTTCGAAATAGCATTGCTGGTAAACAAACTCCTGTGGTTTTAGCTAAATGATGATGAACTCATATGATGTGATGTGCAGCTATGCAGGCAGCAGTAGCGGTGGCTTACATATGCTATGCAGGTCGTTCTTGCTGCTTTCAGAGATAACGCTACGGCAGAATAACATAAAAACCTGCAGAGAAGCGCAACCACATAGCAGCCAGAAGTTGCCGCACTCCAACTATTTGGGAATATGTCCGGCCCTTGTGCATCTGAGAAGTAATGGTTAGGTCATCATGTTGGCTTCACGCAACCTCAAACCGCATCATTGTGCAAAGTTCGTGATCGCGCCTGAGAACACACCCAATTACGCGGCGGTAAGAACGAGTTAGGCAGGAGAATGAACTCCGTCAGAAGAGACAAACACAGAATTGTGGGCCGTTAGGGTAACTCCGCAAGACTAATCGAGTACACTGGCCTGCAGTGCGACGGTTACCACAGAAAGGGAAAACCAGTAAAGCTTTCGAATGAGAAGTCACCTGCAATGGCAGAGCATGACCTCTCGTTGCAGGCGTGCGAGCATTTCTCTCGTGGTGAACAAGCGCCAGACAGCAGCGAGTTCAATGTGGAGAAGGTGCTGTCACCGAGCGAACTTTGGTGCTAGTGTCTATGGGAGCTACAACGCATGGCGCTTCAGCGAGCATGGGAATAATGGTTAGTACACGAATTTGTCTGATTCTCGCACTTCTGGCTCCGTGTGGGTTCGTGTGCATTGGAGCTGTTTTCTCACGAAACAAAATCAGCAAATGTTCAGAGGTTGCGCTTCGCCACCTTAATCTTTCAGGCTTATCATTTAAATCGGGTCACGAAGCTAAAAAGGGTTCATTCTTTCTTTCGAAACAAAATCGAAGCACGGCAATAAGCGAAGCTACAAGTGCGATTCACCGTCTGCAAGTACGAAGACTAGGCAAATCAGTGTACTACCCACCCTTCCCATGGTCGCTGAACGGTCGCAGTGGCAGAGTCCCCTTCTAATTAATTTTAGGAAACTCTATGGCTGTCACTAGCGGCTAATCAGGATCAGCACGCACAGCAGCTCGTTATAGCAGGCCGTACGCTCGAGTCGCATGGGGCTGGCACACGCGCTAGCCGGAAACGAGGCGCTAAGAGGGAGGGTGCTCTTGATTTCTGCATGACCCGGGTCACTCACGAGGTTGTAGTAAAGGAGCTGATGAGTATTCCAGTTTCTCGATTCCAGGGAACTGCTAGAAACGCTGCACGCACAAGGGCCACATTTTAAAGCCTACAATGTTGGTGTACTAGAATTGAGAATGAACCCTCTTGTTTTTAAAATTGTTTTTACTTTCTGAAAAAACCCTGCATGCTGTAATTTCGCGCCACATGTAGTGCTTCTCCAAGACACAATGCCATGTTTACGGTATACGGTCCCTGCTGCGACCCGACAACTGACCTGTGTGGCGTCCGTCTCCTTCCCAGAAATGCTGAGTGCCGAGGCAAACTCGTCAATGTCAAGTAGGCTGGACGACGCCGAGCTGGGACTGGCAGGCTCGAACTGGCACCCAAAGGGTATCAAGTCTTCGGGTCGCTGGGAACTCCTACATGGAAGAGAGAGGGAGAGAGGATACCATGTCAGTAGGCACTGTGTTCTTTGTAAAGAACCCAGGGGTGCAGACTTGCACACATTCTGTGACAGAATGGAACGCGACGCGTTGAAAGGACAAGAGGAAGCAAACAGCCAGTATGCGAAGAACGAATGCCCCGAAAAAATATGTCACATTTTGGTCGTCTGTTGAGAAAGTTCCAAAATGTTTTCAACACCTGAAGAAGTCTGGAATCATTATAACTGAATGTCAAGGTTGGAGGGCATTGCTTTTCAAAGCTTGAAACTGAAGAGCGCAATAACTTTTACAATTTATTTATACTGGATGGAATGGCGTCTCCATCCGTTCTGTGGCCATTCGCTAAATGAGATGAAAAACTGAGAGAGTTGGTGCAGGTTCATCGGGGCTAACAGCGTGAGAAACACAGACGAAGACGAGAGGTGGACGCGGCACAGCGCTTTGCTCAGCAGACGACAAAATGACTGATCGCACTGCCTTTTCTCGTTGCTGTTCGCACGTCTGACCATCAGCAAGCCTTGACCAATTCCATGAGGTGCAATAGAACATTCCATGACAGAACATTCTACAGTGAACTCTCGGTAGAACAAACACTACATTAACAAACTTTTCATATTAATGAACTTATAAAAAATCCCTTGCCAACTGCTAATAGTTTCAAAGTAAAATTATTTCACTACTACCCACTTCAGAATACTGAGCTTTTCAGAATAACGAGCACTAATTTAGTTCCGCATTATATTAACAGCGCGCTAGAACAGCGAACTCATGTTCTGAAATCCACAGCGACCAGCGGAGCGATACGCAAGCAGACGTCACAATGAAAGGACGCCTTGTTTCTCGGAACATGCGCGACGGTGCGGAGAGAAAAAAACACGAAAGGACGACTTTCTTTTCTTTCTTTCTGCTGAAACGCCGACGCTGCAGGTTTATAAGCGCCGAGGCGAGGGCAACACGGGAGGGGAAAGGCCTATGTGGCAGAGTGGGAGTTGCAGAGCAGGAAGCATGGGCGCCGAAAATCTGAGACAGCGAGGGAGCAGAAAACGAAACGCAAGAAATTTTATTTTTTTGCTGTTTCTTTTCTTCGGACAAGGCGATGACAGCCATACGCTTGGGGTTTTTCTGATCTTTGCAACTTCTACATGTGCTCCAGGAGGCCTTGTCAGTCGTGTTCATCTCTTTTCGGTGATTACGTATCACGTCCGCAAAGGAAGTCGGCGTTCGCGCTGCGGTACTACTACAATGAGTTCATCTCTGCTTGCGACCAAAAAGCGGAAGCAGTTTTTGCTAAGCCAGAAAGTGAATCACACCACTGAATCGCACCACAGGAATGTGGATGAGCTGGAGGCCTCCGCGCCACAAAGTTTGTGCTCCACACGTAAAAAAAAAAAAGCAGACTTTTTTTATGTAAACGTGCATTTTTTTAGTGTTCACTTCTACAATTGTTTTTTTCTCATGAAAAACGGCTTCAAGGACCCACAGTTTTAAAGGTAAGTCAAGTTTCGGTTGGTGGAAAATAAGTATTTATGGTTAATTTTTGGGCTTTCACTGCGACAACCTTTCAAAATAACGAACGAATTGCCGCAGCCCCCTGAAATTCTTTATATCGAGATTTTACTGTATCAGAAAACGTGAGCAAGATTGCACTCTGGAGAGCAGAAAAAGACTACTCGCCAAGAAAGTTGCACTCGACACAACATGCGCTCATTTTTTTTTCATATCTTCTCAACTTTTTGGGCTGTAGGTACGTTATAAAGAGTAAGAGCTGCATAGTTATCAAAAGGCCACAGAGGAACACCAACACACAGCAAAAGTCGTTACTGCCATCATTACTACTAAACTCTTATTACATGTGATTTTGCTTGGCTCCATTGTCTGTTGGTCTTATTAGGACCTCACTTTAATTGTATGGCACAAAAAGCCAGCTCATCATCTCCAGTGCTCACCAATGATGGAGAACAGCGGTGGCTGCAACGCGGGCCGATTATTGCATTCACATCACCAAGAACTGTCACCAATGCCACTGGAGGCAAACGAGAATGATCCCGCACCTGAGCTCGAACCAGGTAATGGTCTCCATGATTTCGGTCTGCAGGTCGTCCGGAAGCTCCGAGTAGCCGTCGCTCTTCACGACGTCCTTGTTGATGGCGACAAACTCCAGCGCCGAATTCTGAGGGAAATGCGCAAGTACATCAGCACTCGAAAAAAACCTGAAGCTTCAACCTAAGGGTGTTTCTTAACAACAACGAGAACATGCTACAGTGACAGAACTAATCAATGTTGCAAGTGAGGCCACAGGGTTGTAACGATAGGGACGAGAAAGATGACAGCATGTGCACAAACTATCAACCGACTTCACAGCTCTGTAATGTGGTCCTAAGCCCAGGTGCATGGGTATCTTTTTACACCTGTGAATGTCACTCTATTTATGGCTGTGTGGCTGGACAGCTCCCTATAACGCTGACATGTCTATATATTATCATTGTGTCCGTAAATGAAGCAAGTTTCTTCTACCGCGCAACAAACCAGGACAGAAGACTGAGAAACAGTAAGAAAAAAATGGTCAGTGCTCGTTTGCGTCTTATCGTTTCTTGCTCGTTTGTCCTCGTCTGCCTTATGCCGAAAAAGCTTGCCCAAGATCCTGAACCAACAACGTCGTGCTAGAGTCTCGTTAACTGCAAGTGTAACTGCGTTCGTGTTTGTAAGCATCGACGTCTCCGTAAACGCTGCTGTGCCTGTGAACACTGATGTGCCCTGCTATGCTTACCCTGAGATTTCTGGCATTGAGCTGGTCGGCCAAGTTGAGAAGGAAGAGGGCCGAGTCTTCGTCCAAATGGTCACGAAGAGCGTCTTCCGCGATCTGCTTCAGCAAGTCAACCTGTTGGATTACAGGACGGCAAGATTGCAGACGAGTAAAGAGACAAATTGCTGCAGCTTCACTTGAAGGATGATGAATAAGCAATGGTAGTACAATGTGCAAACACTGTGCAAATTCAGGTTGGCAGTGGGCGGGGGGCAGGACGGTTTAAATGAGAGCACTGAAAACTAAACGGACAGAGGGCATTCGAGCACCATACTCACTGAAGAGGAAAAGCGAAGGAAAGTCAACGATCAACTAAACTGAAATATGGTTGGCAACTGAACTCAACCGTACAATTGTTGGGTATTTCACAATCCTAAACCACGATATGATTATGAGAGACGCTGTAGTGGAGAGCTCCGGAAAGTTTAACCACCTGGGCTGCTTTAACATGCACCTAAATGTAAGCAGACAGGCCTCTAGCTTTTCACCCCCATCAAGGTGCGGTCGACGCGGTTGGGATCCAATCCCATGACCCTCGGGTCCATGGTTGAGCACCACAGCCACTGGAACACAGTAGAGAAGCGTGGCGAAGCATAAATCGAATTGGTGATTTTCCATCACCAGCGGAACACTTTTGCGTCTGAGCTACCACGACTTGTACTTAATGTGACTATTAAATTAGTACTTACATAATGACACAAGTAAGGTGGCAGGGTTTTCGTGGGGAGAAAGGAACACCAGTGAAACAAGGCAGAGAGGTTGTCTTGTGTGCAGTCGTTTCGGCCTGCCACATCATGCCGAGGAACAGTGTTGAGGGAGCAAGAGGAACACAATCCGAAGACGATATACGACAGCGAGGACGATAAAAACGGCAGTTGCACAGACTGTTCCTTTGTAATTGGCACGATGCACCGGACTTGAAGGACAGACGATTGGACTGTCTACAGCCTGCATGATTCGTGCAGTGGCAGTTATACTCGGTTTAAACCTGAGAAAAATAGTGACCGCTCCACCCACAGCCATAGCCGTCCCTCCAACCGAGTACTTGCACAAATGCTCTGTCCAATAATGCCAACACATTTCTGCAACCTCAAGCACTTTGTAAGCTTTTCAGATAGTAGACTTTCCCATTCCGGTGCACTTTCGTGTCGCTGGAATGCCCTGGTCAATTTTGTCAGGGATTGTCAAATTGCTGCTAGGCCAAAAGTAATAATTTAGGTAGTAACGACAAACTTTTAACCCTTTGCATGTGTAATATTTACATTAGACTGAAAAAAAAGTGCATGACTTTTGAGTGAAAATCAGCTAGCACAACTTGGCCGCAATTCTGTGGGTAGAGCGAGTGTTCTTTCTTAGGTTGTAACCGGTACAGCAAGGTAGCAGCTACTGTGGGTGTCGTTGACGGACTTTATAGACTTGCACAGAATTTTGCAGTCAGGAAGTGGCTAGCAGTTCCTCAACCAAGATACTCTAATGCTTTGCCACAGCCAGGCTGATTCAATGACAACCTTACCACATCAGTAATGGCACAGCTGGCTGGCTACAAACCAGTTCAAACTCGCTACGATCGGCCTTACTTGGCTATGAGCCATTGGCAAAGGTACGTGAACACTATGTGCACGCATGCACTGACGAGAGCGCAAAAGAGAAAGTGCCACGTATGCACACATGAACACATAATAACGACCGTGTAGGCATGCACTACGGACGAGAGGAAATCCGGCTACCGCATTCTACTTCGGAGCGTACAAACTGACTCGTGTTGTGTTTACTCATAACAAGCCATGAGTGAGAGCGAGAAAGTGCAGATGAAAAAAATTTAAGTGACTCCAAATTTGAGTCGTTCTGGTCGAGGGAAGTTTTTTGTAATACATATTAAGTTCGAGTGAGCCCTAGGCACAAAATATATTTTTCAAGTGAGCTCCAATGCTTGAGACTGTCTATCACACACACAATCAGATGTTTGTTCTAGTAGCAGCCGCTACACACCCTCAACTAAGGACTTTGCACAGGGTGTTTACGTTTAAGAAGCAGCCAAATGGCACCTCATCTCAAAACCTTCATGCTTCACAACGCTTAGGCATGCTCAGCAAGAACTGTGCGAGCTCGGCAGAATTGTGGCTCGCTGTGAGCCATCGCCGAACTCACCTCGTATCGGTCGCCGAGCTGCATGAGTTCGACGAGCTGCTCGGTGGTGAGTTGCCGCGAGTCGAGGCAGCCGCGGTACAGGTACTCAAGGAAGAGCTGGAACACTTCTGGGTGCGTGTCGTGCACCGTTATTTTCCTGCATCGGGATAAGACGAGGGTGAATGGCGACGGAGAGACGCACTAACGTTATGCATCCAACTGTCGATAATCTACAAAAGACTTCGACCAGCGAGGCTGCCGGGTCTGTTCTTTTTGGAACTGTTATGGGCCTGCGTTTGCTTGCATTTTGAAACTAGAGACATACAGTGAAAATTCAGGGTTGTGTTAGTTTCTCTGGGGCACACACACGTCTTAATAAAGGCAGCTGCGCCAATTGCAGCGCGTGAACTAACATGCACATACTTGCTTGACCACCAGTGTGACCTTTTAGCTCACATAATGAAGAAGCAAAATCTAAGACCCTGCATAAAGTGCTGCATAACGCACGCTTTGTAGAATCCTACGTTTGAAATCCCTGCCGACACGGTGTTTCATTTGACCCCACAAGATGGCGCAACATGTCTGTACTAATCAAGGCCCCTCAAAGAGCTTCTTTGATTTACATGTTACAGACACTGGTGTCGCATTCCTTTATTTCGGGGACCAACCAGAAGCTGGACCCACTGGTCCAGGACAGCTCGCATGCAGGCTTGCTTTTCGAGTGTCTAGCCACTTGCGGACGGCCCGGAACTGACCGAACAATTTCATTCTGGCAGCTGGCAGACGATGGTGCAGTACGCATGGCGGTGTGTCACGCGTGCAGCCATCTTAACATGGGCACCGGAAATTTTCGACGCACTCTTGCTCTTCTGTTGCTTTGTATCGATTTCTCACACTTGCAGATTTTGTATTTCTGGCTCGGGACGTTCGGATCACATGATAATGGTGGCATGTTACGTAGCAACCTGTGAGCCGAGGCATCCATGGATTGCCGGCGACTAGTGTGGGACTTGGTAAATCGAAGAAGCTCACTGTCAGTGCCCCCCCCCCCCCCAGAGAAGTGGTGGTGACAAGCTTTGCCAAGTGAGAGCCACATTGAGTTGCAGTCGACGCGGAAGCCATCTCTTCCTAAGGTGAAAAGCAAGGATGATGACAGCAGAAATGGTAAATGCGAGAAACAGCAGAAATAGTAAGCTCTAATAGGAACAACAAACTTTGACATTACGTTCAAAGCGCAAACCATCGCGCATGTCTGCGTGCTCCGACACAACACAGCAGTTCTGTCGGATAAAATATGGCTAGATGGCCTTGTTTGAATGAATTTCTTTGCGACAAAAGTTTCAAAGTGCACAGACATAAGGACAAGACGTCAAGCGCAGAATAGGCAGTAATGAGCAGGTGTACAGGATGGTATGTGTGCGGCAAGCGCGTATGTATGTCCATGTGAATCTGAGAGCTTGAGTGCATCTGTATGTACCATAGGGCGCAGACTGAGACAAGCTGACCCTCGATTTATGATGTTCTTTCACACTATATTAAAACCATGTTGATGCAGTCCCGCTTCAGACGATTTCCCGGCACCAACATTCGCAATATGATTGTCAAGAGAAACTGCGCGATGCTATTGTCCCGGAGAACATGCTCCTCCTTACGTATTTTTCAAAAATACAAATGTAGTGCTACTACATACATTCACTCAAACTGTTGGGGGACCGTCCTATGTACGGCTGACGCAGAAGCCTATAGCTAATGTTTCAGCCGCACACAGTCGTTCCGTGCACGGTTAACGTCCCCCAACCGTAGCTTGCCTCATTGCAGCTACTACTACGGGTTCGGGCGAATAAGGCAACTGGCCAGATCAACAACAAACACTTTATTGCTAAGCGTTAGCAATCGCGCGTCACTGTCGCGGGGAGATACTACAGATAACAAAGGTGTTGACGCTTACACCTCGGTCGTGGACGTCCTCGGCTCGCAGGAGGGGTTGCGGGTTCGTCCTCCTGGGATGGTCGCTGGTGTCAGAGAGCGAGCGCCCGTTTGCCCGCTCGTTTTGTTCCCCGACCCGATTTCCCTTTCCCTGACGAGAATGGTACCTTTCCTCGCTGAGGGAGAGGGGAACCTGTTCCTGGCGCCGGGAAAGGGGGGGGGGAATCGCACGCGCCGGCCGTGGGGGAAGGGGTCCCCGCAACCAGGCGCGTGCGCTGCCCTAAAAGGGAAAGGGAGGCTGGGCGCACCTGCTCCCCACATCTCCTCCCCCCTTAAGAAGGCCCCCGAACGACAGAGACTGCAAAGAGGGAATAATTCGTTTTATTCGTCCTCTAGATAGGCCAGAAGGGCCTGGTCTACGTCCATGCCCTCGGACCGTTCGGTGTCTGCCGCGGGCACCGCCGGAGCCCCCACCGCTCTCTCACCCGCCTCCAAGGTCATTGACGCCACCTCCGGTGTCAATGCAGCCGCCACCAATGTCTCTCCCCAAGTTCAGAGAAGAAGGCGCATACCCAGTCGATCGGTTTACGGTCGATCGTAATGCAAAACCGATCTCTGGAAGATAGGTATCCCAGTCCTTATGTCTTTCAGAGAACGCGACAAGCATGTGCTTGATGTTGCGATTGACTCGCTCCGTGGGGTTCGACTGAGCATGGTAGGTGGTTGTTTTCTTGTGCTTAATGCCCAACGCGGCGCACGTGTCAACAAACACCTTCGCAGTGAAATAAGACGCGTTGTCTGTAATCAACTGCTCGGGGAACCCGAACCTGGTAAAAACCTCCATCAACTTCTCTAAAATCACTCGAGCCGTCAGCTTCCTAAGGGGAAAAAGTTCTACCCATTTAGTGAAGTGATCCGTGATCACCAGCAAGAACTTATTTCTGCTAGGAGTTGAGGGGTACGGGCCCATTACGTCACACGCTGCGATTTGCCAGGGAGTCTGACTGTTAATCGGTTGCATGAGGCCGGGCGGACGTCCTCCTCGCGGCTTGACGCTTTGGCACACACGACATGAACGGGCGTAGCGAATCACATCCCGCTTCATACCTGGCCAGGTAGCGAGGCGACACAACTTAGCGTAAGTCTTAGGGCCGCTCGCATGCCCACCAATGCACGAGTCATGAAAGTAGCGAAGAAGCGCTCCTCTCAACGCGCGCGGTATCACGACTTTAAATGACTCACTTGTGTCATCGTCGGATGGAATGTACCTCAGCAGGACGCCGTTAGAATCTAGCAGATATGAATCCAGCGCGCTCACAGCACTACCAGCTGTTGCCGAGCGCTCCGCACCGACAGCAATACCAGCTGCCCCCTTGTGCGCGGTGGCCTCACTACCACCCGGCTCCCGGAGCCCGTCGAACACCTTTCGACAAAATGGATCTTTCTGCTGAGCTTCTAACAGCTCCCTTCTGCTGAAAACAATCCCTGCGCTAACGACAGCCTCTACGTGGTTCACGCTCTTAGCTCGAACTAACGTTTGCTCCGCTGTTTGCGTTAGCGCGAGTGTCTCGCTCTCAGTTCGTTCCGAATTAGTCGCGTGACTTGCCTCGTGTCGAACTGGAGCACGCGATAGTGCGTCGGCCGCGGCATTGCTCTTACCCTTGCGGTAGCGGACGGTGAAGTCATAACGCTGCAGCAACAATGCCCAACGCGCCAATCGGCCACTTGGTTCGTTCAAACGCCTCAACCACGTGAGCGCCATGTGGTCCGTTTCAATCACAAACGCAACTCCGTCTATGTAAAAGTCAAACTTACGGAGAGCAAAAACTATCGCCAGACACTCTTTCTCGGTTACTGAGTAGTTCCTCTCCGCCGGTGTCAACGTACGGCTCGCGAACGCAATCGGTCGGAGGGAACCTCCATGCTCCTGAAGCAAAATTGCTCCTAAGCCCAGGTCGCTTGCATCGGTGTGAATAACAAACTCCCTGTTCAAATCGGGTAGCTGCAGCTGAGCCGTGTTGGCCAGCAACTTCGTGAGGCGACGCAGTGCGGCCTCTTGCTCTTGGCTCCAAGCCCAACGCTCACCATTCCTCAAGAGCTTCGTTAAAGGCGCCTGCACTGCCGCGCAATCTGGAATGAATTGGCGATAAAAATTCACCATCCCCAAAAAGCGCCTCAGCTCTCCGCTTTCAAATGGTTGATCCTCACTTTCTGCCCCCGTGCTTGCACACATTAGCCAGAGCTCACGTCACATTCGTGCTCGTCTTTCTTTACGTCTACTGGCACGTCACCGACTCTCACACCCGACTCCACTTTCGTCTGCAACGCACTCGTGTTCACACCAATGTCTAAACGCACTCTCCGAAAACCACTGTTCTATAATTGCGCACTTGATTTCAATTTGACTGCTTGTGTGCATGATGACTGTGCGCAGTGAAAAAAAAAAACGTTCCTAGGCAAGAACAGCCACTTCGACGAGCGCTGACTGACTCACGTTACAAGAACCAACAACCAATTTTAATGGTGCCTGCTTTATTTAGTGCTATGGAAAGCTTACCGATCAGAGTGCCTGCTCATGGAGTGGTAGTGCGGAAAATGTTACGAGAAAATTATGGTCAGAGTATTTCCCACTTTCTCGAATGTGAGGTCCATACACACAACACGTGCTACAAGGAACGGGCAGTGAGCACAGCAGTGGCTTGTGCTGCTGCACTGTAGCTCGCTGCGCAGATGTAGCGCTGCTTTTTAGCGTCAACTCCTTTTACCTCTTAAGCAGCACAGTACAGGGCAGGGATGGAAACAATATACCTGCTCTAATTTTGAACTCTCACTCTGGTGGACATGAAAGAGCCAAATGACGTACGGTAAAGTGAACTACACCATAATCTAGCTTCAAGGCTCTTCCAGTAGACTGCACAACATACTGTTTCTTCATTACTTTAAACAGGATTTAAAAATTAAATCCTACTCAGCCTGCGAGAAAGATGCTTGAATCTAACTATAATTCACGGTGTCACAACCCTGTCCTGAACGTATGTTTTCCATGATCCCGCGTTCTAAGCAGTTGTCAGCCCCTTTAACATTTTTCACAAGGTGCAGCCACTGACCGGTCAATGGATTCCCGCATGCCACTGAGGAGTGCCTTCTTGAACCAGTTGCAGCGGGTGGCTACGACGACGCGGTGGGCTCCAATCTGCCAATGCATGCCCGAAACGGTGTCGTTGACCGGCTCCGGACTTGTATCGCCACCGTAGCCTTTTGGGAAGAATTAGCGATCGGGAGGGAAGCCTTATGTTGACCAAGTGTGCACTCCGGTATACACTCAAACTTCAATATAACAAACACGAATAAAATGAAGTAAATGAAGAATAGTCTTGCAATGTATACAGTGTCAGGAATAACTTTTATAACCAATTCTGATATAACAAAGTTATTTTCTTGTAAGATGCAACTTTGTTATAATGAGGTACGAGTGTACATTCAAGAATTTTTTGTACATTGACATTTCACAAACCTTAATTTTATATACAGCTATACCTGGTACATAACCCCTTCAGGTGCCACGTGTATGCATATACACATAAACTTCAGAGGTGCGTCACATACCACATGTTTTTAAACGGCTTCAAATGCATTGTGTACACTTGTGGAGGCTTTTGTTTGTAGAGGTGCGCAACACACTTCATATGAGACACTAATTTTCACATAACATTTAATTATGTATTCAAATTACGTTGGCTTGAATACTAATTATGTATACATAACTTTTCATCAAAGGGACCAGACACCAAATTTTCGATCATGATGCGTGTTGTGTGGGTTTACCTTTGTGCATTCAGAAACAAGTTGGTGAAAGTTTAGCGAATTTGGTCGAGCACTTATTTATGTTTTAATATTTTTATAAATGTGCAAGTGGCCCGGATGTCGGGCAGCACTGGACAGTCTTGTTATCAATAGTGTAACAAGCTGCTTGCTTGCGAGCATCTGCATTCCAGCAAAAAATTTTGCTCTGTGATCAGCTGCACGTGCAGTCAAGCTAGTTTAGCTTTACTAACTGCTTAGCATTCGAGTTGACCTATTTGCAGCAAACGACACTTTATAGAAGACGTTGGCTCTTCTCCATGCGGCCCATCATGTCATACACGCCAAGGCAAAATGACAGTCACAGGCGGTGGGCAGTGTGTACAGCTGGCGGCTCCTTGTGCGCATTTTGCACTGAAGTATTCATCTACAGTACATTTTTGACGTATCTGCACGCCCGATGGACCATGTACTATTCTTAACTGAAAGCTGCAAATGGTTCAGTGGCTGTGCCGCAGCCCCTCTATTAAGTGCACAGCAACTGATACTGATTGCTTAGTTATAAATATAGTCCAAACCACATAACAAAGTCAAATATCACACGAAAATGACTTCTTTATGTAAAAAATTGTAATATGCATAATTTTGTAGCATGCGACAATCAAAAGGTTATTGTTTAATTACTTTGCTATAACAGAAAATTCGTAATTTTTGCATTGGGAGCATCCAGGCTCCAATGAAAACAGTCTCACCCGGTGCTGAAACGATTTCAAAGGACATGTCTGTGTCCTTGCCGTCCAGGAAAAGCCGCAAGCTGTCCTCGGCCAACCGGCTGTTCCTGGCAGGCGGCGGCTGGCACAGGGACTCAATCGGCTCGCTCTGCGGTCGATCGGGCTCGGCGGAGGCTGCGGCAAGTCCGGTGGCGTTTTCGCCACAGACGACGCCTTCGACCTCCGTCGTCGTGCCAGCGGGTGAGCCGTTGACGACGTGGTCATCTTCGTCTCCGGTGACACCATTCTGGTGCACCTCTCCAGTCGGCACGACTATTCCCAGCTCGACGAGTGCCGCAGTGAACTGGTCTCGCGCCACCAGGTCGCAGAGACGCGTCATCACCAGATGAAGCGTCTCGCGGTGGCTCACCAGTTTGTTCAGTACCCATGCCTGCAGTTTTTTTTTTAACATTCATCACAACAGTGAACATACGAGTCAGAGAGAGAGAGTTGAATATTTACAGAGAGGCAGAGAAGTGAGCTCGAGTAATTGTACGCTCTTGCCTGCTGCACAATACCGAAGGCGGGGAACGGAGAAAAAGTTACGAATGGCGATAATGAGGGAGATGAGTATGCACAGTCTTGTCAAGTTGGTTCAATGCCATAACTGTGGAACCAGTCCAGAGGCTTGTGGAAAGTCCGTGACCACTCTTATGGCCACAATCGCACTGGTGGCATGAGGCTAACAACTTGGGATGTACGAATATTCAAAAAGTGTTTGCTGTTCGACTTGATTCGCACTGCAAGTTTTAGCCTTCGAACCATTGTAACTTACCAAAGACAAATGCAGTCAACATCCGATTGAAAATGACCCCTTCAAATTTTTTTGTGTGCTTCATCTTATCACATTTTCGTATTGCGGCAAAGCTGCCTTCGAAGCTCTGCTACGGTCGAAATTTCCAAAGCCCATCATCATCATCAGCCTGACTACACTCACTGCAGGGCAAAGGCCTCTCCCATGGTTTCCGCCAATCAAACCGTCTTGTTCTCTCTGCTCCCACGTTAGACCTGCAAACTTTTTAATCTCATCGGCCCACCTAACATTCTCTGTTCCACTCGTGCATTTGGCTTCTCTGGGAATCCATTTGGTTACCCTAATAACTAGCGGTTATACAACCCATGTCCATTTCTTCTTCTTGATTTCAACTGTGATATTTTTAACCCCGATTTGTTCCCTGACTCACTCTGCTCTCTTCTTGTCTGTTAAGGTTACATCTATCATCTTCGTTTCCATCGCTCGCTGCGTCGTTCTCAACCTTAGCTGAACCCTCTTAGCAAGCCTCCAGATTTCTGCTACGTAGGCAAATACCGGCAAGGTGCAGCTGTCACATATCTTCCTCTTGAGGGTTAGTGGTAGATTACCATTCATAATTTGAGAATGCTTGCCGAATGTGATCCACCCCATCCTTATTCTTCTACTTATTTCACTTTCATGGTTTGGCTCAGCGGTTATTACCTGGACATATTCCTTTACAACTTCCAGCGCCTCTCCACCTATCTGAAAGCGCCGTTTTCTGCCGAGACTGTTGCACATTACTTTAGGCGAACTTTCCAAAGACCGTCCACGTCTAATTAAAAATGTCTCCTTCAAAATTTTTTTTTCAAATGTTTCACCTCATCACACTCCTCTATTGCGGCAAAGCTGCTTTCCAAGTTTTTCTAAGGTCACAAATTTATCGGCTCAAGAAATCACTGGTTCCAACATAGAGATATCAGCTGTGTCAGAGGGCCGTTTTCAACCTGAAATTTGGGCAGGAAGTCCGAAAAGTCGGACGAAGAAAATTTTTAGCATCCAAAATTTCAAATGTTCTTGTATGTTGCCACCTCCGAGGCAGATTTGGAACTCCCAACTCGAAGACACAACAACCTAGTTTTTCACACCAGTTCGGCTTCTACAGAAGTTGAAAAAGACGAGGCTGACAAAACATAATCTTTGCCTTTCACTTGTAAAGTACTGTAGGCAACACTTTGGTTGCATCAAAAGATGTACATAAATAGAATTCAGCCTCTTCATTGCCTCTTTCTTGATAAGACAACTAGGAAATATTACCCCCTCAATGCTTCGTCCACCTTATGAGAAGGAACAGTTTCATGTTGTTATCTCATAAGAATATGCTTAGAAATACTCTCCAACTTTTTTTTGCAATCGTGCAACAAAGTACAGTAAAACCTCGGTAATTCGAAGCTCGCCGGACCGCGACAATTCTTCAAATTAAGGGAATTTCCAAATTAACCGAAATGAAGAAAAAAAGTGAACAAGCACTACAAGTTAAAACCACATTCTTTTTCTTTTGCAAGAATGAGGTTATTTGAAAAAATCGGTGATAGGGATTGCTTATTGCAGTAGTTCCCTGCCCCAAGTGCCATGTTCTCAAACCTGCTCGCAATACTCAGCATTTCACTGTCACCACCGCTGCACTCAACAAAGCTGCTGAAGATGTTCACGGCATCAACAACCGAGGCCAAAGCGGGCGCGCAGGTGGGCTTGTTATTGTCACCCTTATCGCCGACTTGCCCACTGTCGGTGACGTTCTCGTTCACATCAGCGTATGACGTTTGTACACCCGCCTCAACACTGGAATACTCCACGAAGCCTGGTCCCTCGCCATCGCCGGAGTCGGTGATCCGGGTGCACATAAGAGTCTCCCTCGTCGTCTAGGCTGGACAAGCTGCAATCTTCATCAAGATCTTCGCCACCTTGTTTGCAGAACCTGGCGTGTTCAAAACAGCGCTTGATCACCTTTGGCTCCAACTTCTTCCAGGCAAAGGCAGTTAAACAAATAGCACCAAGCAGATTGATGTGGTATTGCTTCCCATTGTCGTAGCAAAGCAGAACCGCTTCAATAGGTGGTGGCGGTAAATCTTCCTCGTTTGCAGGATCACCCCTTGATCCATCGGCTGTGATATGGCCGTAGTACTTGCCGAGAGGAAGACGGTCTTGACGGCTTCGAGGTTTCTGATGTCCTCGTGGCCGGGCAATTATCAATAACAAAGAGCACTTCCTGGCCTTTGGCCGCAAACTTCCAGTCGAGGAACAGCACGTATTCATCAAATATCGCCGCCGTCATCTAGGCCTTCTTTTAATGCCTGTATGTGACAACATCCCTCGGAGGAAGGCGTACGTTCTTAAAGCACCTAGGCTTACTCGATCGGCCAATTACGAGCAGTGGAAGCTTGTCGCTTCCAGACATGTTCGCACCGAACAAAATAGATATTCTCTCCTTGGGCTACTTTCTCCCAGAGACAGTAGTGTCCTTGGCAGCAAATGTTTTCGTGGGAAGCATCTTGTAGAAGAAGGCTGTCTCGTCCAAGTTGTAGACATCGTCCTCGCCAAACTCCTGAAGCAGCAGTGCCAGCGTACGCATCTGCCAGTCGTCAACGACGTCCGTGTCGGCGCTGCCGCTTTCCCCGCACACGGTCAAGTATGTAAGGTTATTTCGCTCTTTAAATCGGGCGAACCAACCATTACTGCACTTGAAACCTTCATGGCCAAGGCGCAGTGCCAGGTCATCGGCCTTCTCTCGAAGGATGGTGCCATTCACGGGAAGATGAGCTGCGTTTCCGTGCTGCAGCCATTTCATCAAAGTAACCTCAACGTCCAAGTATGTTGGGAAGCGAATCCTTGATCATTTTGACAAATGCTCTTTCCCATATGCCTCAAGCAACTTTTCTTTGTTCTTCAAAAATGGTCGAGAGCATCGACAAGGGCCTCTTGTGCTTTTCGGCAAGTTGGGTCTTCGTGCACGCTGACTTCTCAGCCTCCTCGATCAGGGACACCTTCTCCCGCAGCGTCAGCATCTTGTACTTCGCATCGTGTGTCTAAAAAGCGGTCAGGACTTCGCACGCGACACAAGCAGGCGTAGGAGGTGTAGGAGGCGACTAATGGTCGGAAGCATACAAGCTACGTGAAAAACACAAAATGGAATGCACGAAAAACGATAAAATGTGGAAAAACGCGCACGTGGAAAACACAAAACGAAAATTGAATTTTAACCCGTTTCCGGAACTCAAACTATTATGAACTCCAAAATAAGCATCGCCGGAAGGCTGTTTCACGTCCGTTGCTACCAGCGGGAATTACAAATTATCCGAATGAAATCCGCGGGCTGCTAAAATAATACGGCAAAATTTGCATTGAGAAACATGGGACCGTAGAAGTTCTTCGAATTAATCTAAATTTCGAATCATCAGAGTTCGAATTAGCGAGGCTTTACTGTATATCTCAAAGATATTATAATCAAGAGATATTAAAAAATTTTGTATTCACACTCACACTACAGTATTCGGATTCGCACAGTTCTACTAACAACTTGCCACAAACTCAATGACCTACCATTAAATCGCTCGAAAAAGGATGCCAGTCCCTGCCATTCACTTGCGTATGCTGTGCAGGTACAAGATATGTGTTCGAGTGCTTTCGAATCGAAGGATAACGCTACCAAGCGTCTGTGCAGTGTTATATTCACAGAGTCCTCATTCCAGAAAACTTTCCTACTCTAATGAGATCACGTGATTACCAACAAACTGGCTCGAGTTAGTCAGTATTTCGCTAACTTATCCTTCATTGACCCCTATACTCCTATTCTCTCACGTCTGCCATCGATTATTGCGTCGACAGCAACTGCAGTTTCATCTGCACCGGCTGTTCATCATTACACCTCAAAGTGCAAAAAACACAAGAATACGAGAAACAAGTACAAGACAGGACATTAAAAGGAAGAGGTGCAAAGCATGTCTCGAATTAATTAAAACAAAGAGCTGCAGTTGCATGTGAGAGATGTACTAGCAGGATGATGAAAAGTGTGCCTTCTATACACAAATCTTATGCAAAAGAAGTTACTTGAATAATTATGTAAAAAAATAATAGAATATTGATGCAAGAGACAAGATGCTCTCAATGAGTCAGCACTTCCAATTATTTGGACACCTTTTTTTTGGTCATGCGAAATATGAATAAACGAACTTTCACTGTATCCTTATCTGTGCGCTTCACCTCTCAGACAAAAGCATGAGATATTTTGGGGTGGTGGTTTGGAACATACATCAGCACGTTTTTCAGCGCCTGTCTTACGCCGTTCTTTGTCCCGCGTTTTTTGCGCTGTTTTCACCATGAAGATCAAACAAGTAGAGGTGCACGCTACTGGATCAGACGTTTCCTTTTCTGTACCGCACATTTTTTTTTCTTTTAACAATGGAGCTGTTTAAGCTTGCTAGTGGTGTGGACAAATAACTGCGTCTAGCAATGATGTTACTGTGCGTTAACTAACGACCACCCAGCACAACCGAGCCTAGTGCATGCAATACAATACCTCACGCGGCACGCCCTTTCTTGGTCTTTTGCTACATTCCCAAACACATGTGCCTGGCATGCAGAAAGAAAAGGAAATACAAAAAGATACAGAGTGAACAAAAGAGAAAAAGAGAGAAAAAGAAAAAGTGAGAACTTGAGAGAGGAAGACAGGAAAGGAAGAGGAAGAAAGACAAAAAATGCAAGAAATAAGCGAACAGAGAGCAAATGAAAGAAGTAGAAAGAAAGAGAGACAGAAAAGAGATAGCGAAAAACAAAGAGAGAGAGAAGAGGGAAAAATAAAGAGAAACAAGCTGCTCCTTCAAGCCTGGCACCAGTGTGAAGCTGCCTTGAATTTTTTCCTCTGTCAAGACAAACAAATTTTGCTACACGAAAACAGGCAGTGAGCATTCGAAACTCACCACTTTGGACGTTCCCAACTTGAAGAGAAACTTCCACTCCTTGCAGCTCTGCTTCTCAAGCACGGCCGACCGCAGTTCCTCGATCCGAAGCAACAGCATGGGAATCTGCGAGTTGTCCAGACGTGCGATGTATTCTGGCGGTAACAGACCGTCTGTATTCGAAGAGAGTAGCAGCGTGCAAAACATAGAAAGGACGACGACAGAGAGGGAGTGCAAAGAATGCCCGGTGCTCCTTACGTTCTATCTGTTTCGTCATCCTTCCCCAGTTTAAGCCGCTGTTACACAAGCTGCAATGGACAACTAGCCTAGTAAGCAACCAATCTTTACTTTATTCGTTATTATCAGCTTTATTTGTCATCACATTTACATTAAAAGACACCCAAAGATTTCCAATCAGTGCTCGTTTATTATCCCTGTACACCACGCCAAACACGTATTACAGTCGACGCCCATTACAACAGATCCAGCAACAAAAGACTTCGATTACGATGGACAACATCCGTAGGTTTGTTTGGTTACCATGGAATTTAAAGGGGGGACACGGGGATAAAATTGCGAAATCCTCGCAAAAAACGAATTTCGAATAAGGGCAGACTTGAATTCTGTATGACCATTTCTATCATATCTAAAAATATTTCCGCCAAAAACGATCTCAAAACAAGCTTAAAAAATGTTTTTATGACCACGGATCGCGAAAAGCTGGCTGAAATCCGTGCGAAAATGGTCCATTTTCAAGCGCGATAACCCCGCGCCTTCGCCGCCGCTCGCGTAAAGTTTGGTGTCACTGGAAAGTTGGTTTCACCGCCGTACTTCTCCCAGTGAAACCACGTGTCTACGAGCGAAGATAAGCGCACAAACAGAAAAAATGCGAAGGCATTCGCGACATCTTAGACGCGCACCGATTGGTTGCTTCTGTCACGTGGTACTGAGCGCGCTCTGTGAGTGACTGCTGGGACACGCTCGCTTGCGCTGGTCGTCTGCTTCGCGCACGCCTACTGTACACACGCTGGCACATGATAGTTTTAGAATCTGCTACAGCTGTAAGTCCACCGATACTCTTATGTAGCGCGAGGCGTAGCTCACGCAATGGATCGTCACGCGGGCCAGAAGCGCAGGACCAAGTACAGGACGAAGTACGGGTACGGGAAGTGTGAACGAAAGCCTCCCGTTTGGAAAACGAAGCGGTCAGCAGCGATTGATTCAGACAAACTGAGGACCGCGTCGCTACCAAGCCATGTGTCGTCAGAAACCGACACCTGCTCGATGCCGCTGCTCGGCAGTGAGGCCTATTACGCGGAGCCGTTGACTAGCCACGACATCGCAGCGGGGTTCGAGCGCGACAGACGTCTCGTTTCAATGGCGGCAGACGACAACATTGTGCCAGCGCATCGGAATGACGATAAGTCGGTGGTCGGCAGTGAGGCCTATGACCCGGGGCCATCAAGTAGCCGCGGCATCGCGGTGCAGTGCGAACGCGAGAAAAGTTTCTTTCTCGCGGCGGCAAACGACAACGTGGTACCACGCCAGCTGTCCAGGATGTCGGCGATCGTTTTCCTCAGCGGAAGCGCATTATTAGAGTACATTTGGAACCTCGTTTCGTGTCCTTGGAAGCCAGCAGTGTCCCCTAAGCGCTTCGCGAGGTGTCGGCAATGGAGCCAAGTTCGGGTTCCCGCAGCAGACTGAGCAAGCATTGGAACCAAAAGATGACGAGTTCACCCTAGTCCAAGTTTCTGCTATCAATTTTCTAATAGGGCCTGCACTCTGCCCAAAATGTTGTCAGGAGACTTTGTCAGTGCAGCATGGGACAAAACTGGGCCTGGCAGTAAAAATGGTGCTTTTGTGTGCTTCCTGTGGCCCTGCTCATTCTCCTTGGTCATCCAGCAGAAAATCCGAACAAAGGGCTTTTGAAGTCAAAGTAAGAGCCATGCAAGCAATAAAGTCCATTGGAAAAGGACCCACTGCCCTGAATGGCTTCTGGGCTACAGTGAATGTCTCGCATCGGGGCATTCACCAAAAAACCTATCAGGAACACCTAAAAAGAACATTCAAACCAGGAGCAGAGGAAGCTGCACAAAACATCTTTGCAGATGCCGTGCATGCAATAAAAGACGTGTACAGCAAGATGCAGCCATCAAGCCGAAACAACATCACAGTTGTGTACGATGGCACGTGACTTACAAGAGGCCACAGCTCGCAGATCGGGGTGGGCTGCATTATTGAATTTTATACGGGGCTTGTGCTGGATTGCACAGTCCTCTCCAATTTCTGCCTTGGGTGTTGTCAAAAACCAGCAGAGAGCGACCCCAACTTCATCAGTTCGGCTGAGAAGCATCAATGTCAGAAAAATACTGATGTTGGCTCCGGACAGATGGAAGTGGAGGCTACTCCAACACTTTTCAGGTGCTCCGTCAGCAGGTATGGCCTCCACTACACCAACATTAAATGCGATGGTGACAGCCGAACCTATCTTGCTTTGTTCAAAGATGAGGTGTACGGCTTTATGCCACTGACCAAAGAAGACTGTGTTAACCATGTGCAGAAGAGAATGGGCACCGCTATTCGCACATTGGTGGCAAGAGAAAAGAAAGGGGAGCCATTGGGTGGAAGAGGTGGACTGACCCAGGAGCTGATTAAAAAACTGGCCAGCTACTACGGGTTAGCCTTACGAAAACACGCGTCAGTGACATGCAAAGGGCCGTGATGGCCACTTTTTACCATGTCACGTCCACCACCCATTAGCCTCGCCATGAGCTCTGCCCACCTGGCCCTGACAGCGCGTGCATGCAAACATCGTTCAGCACAGGCCAAAATGGAGCCAGCACCACCTCACAAGTATAGCTTGCCAAAATGTGTAGCGGAGGCTCTGTTGCTGGTATACCAATGTCTCTCTGACCCGCAACTGCTGGAGCGATGCAAAGGCAACAAAACGCAGAATGCAGCAGAAGGCTTACATTCAGCGATCTGGTCACTCGCTTCAAAGGATAAGCATGCTACATTGTTCGCAGTGGAAACTGCTGTATATGAAGCAGTTGCACGGTACAATTTTGGCAATTTGCAAGCCTACTCTGAAATGTGCAAGTCTGTGGGCATCAAACATGCCAGCCTCGCCCTTCAAAGAGCTCAAGAAAAGGACAAAGAAAAAGAAAAACACGCAGTGCAGAAAAAAATGACACAGCAGAGACGTAAGAAGCCCCTCGCAAGCAACAACACAAGATATTACAGTCCCGGGGCATTTTGATGGGAATTTACTGACTATTCAACTTTATGCCAGTTTTCTGATAATTGTGTTTTGACCCGACTGTCCTACTTGCCACGATGTTTGCATGACTATGGTTCGACGAATTTTGATGTGGTTTTGATTTTGATGCACTGTGTTCCTCAATGAATTTCCTGTGTCCTGAAGTTTCCATATTTGTTAATTACTGTCTCATTGTTATTACTCGTCAGCTAATTTCACATTGTGATAACGACTGCACTTAGAAAGGTGTATAAAATGTTCTTTGTACAACAGAAAATAAGTCATAAAAATTTTTGCAGAATGTCACAACATCAACCATCTCAATGGCTGGTATATAAGAGCAACTATGGGCTTGTACCATGTTTTGTTGTCTTACCAGGCTTTGGGCAAGTTGGGTAGTACAGTGATGCATAAAAAATTCATAATTCCAAAACTACTAGAGATAGCTAAATGAAACTGTCATTTATTATTCAACGCAATTTCCAATAATTATGCCAAATTTCATTGCTGTACAACGAAAACTACAGAATTTCGCCTTCGATCCCCACCTCCTCCCTTAAATGACATCCACTCCGCTCACAGTGAACCCTGCTATAGTGGACTATCGGCTAGAACAGTCTTAATTCAAGCTTAATTAAGTTCTTTGGCAACATTGTTGGTATCAAACGGATCTTTGGCACGGGCGAGCCAAGCTAATCCAGTGATGTTAACAAGTGGCTCGCTTCGTCCATTTTTTTTGTGTGTGTTTGTGCAACCAGTGACTGTGCTCGGGTGCGAACTTGCGTGTAATGGCTGGACCGCGGTACAAGAATGAGTTAGGTGATGACACTGTGCCTGGCACCACATCCACATTGTGTTCGCCGGCTGAGCTGTTTCCATTTGATGCGACGGATGGCGCTCACTGGGGAGCGACTGCGGTCCACGTGCTACTGCTGCGGAGCCTTGTTTATTTATTACACTTGATATACATATGTACATGGATGTCAATAAATAAAAACACTGTGACTCTGCTGTAGCGAAACTGATTTCCTAATTTTATATGCTGTTTACTTGCTAACAGTGTTTTTGTCATATAGATGCTCTGACAGCAGCAAACGTTGGTCTGGAGAGCGAGCAGATTTCAATGGGACAGCAATAAGGAGCTCGTTTGGGTGAAATTCTAGTGTCGGTGGCGTCGGCATCTTTAATTCAAGACAAAAAAAGCAGCATTGTTTGGGAAAGAAAATTTGAGGTGTTTACAATAAGGGTAGCAGCCCGAGGGCAAAGGCACACAAACTACTTGGAAATTGATAGTCTGTGTGCGTGTGTTAGTGTGTGTACGTGAGTGCACATATGCCTGCGTATGTGCACACACAAATATTGCTGTCGCAATCTGGTTGTTTAGCAAAATGAATGTAATGGGCGTAGACTGTAATTAGAGTAGGCAAATTTGCTGGGCTGTGTAGTGTGTGTGATTATGGACTTCCCCAGCTTTCACCGTTGGCCAAATAGTGTCACAGTATAGTGTTCTAGTTTTTTTTTTTATTTTTTGGACAAGCAAAACGAATGTTCGCTAACCAGAGATCTCGGGGATAAACTAATGCAGGACATAGACACACGCTTACAATTGATCTTAAAAAGAGCGTTTTACCAAGGAGCAAGGGCGCGAGTTACTAGGCAAGTTCATAAGCGATACAAAGGATGGTGAAGACGGACTCCCACCTCATCGATGAACTGTTCCAAGTTCTTCGCCACAGATCTAATCTTGCTGCCGCCTCCCATGTCACAGAAGCTTTCCCTGAAAAGAAAACAAAGTAGTGAATGAATGAATGGCTAGATTAAGAGATGTTTTCAGGCCACAACGAAGGTGGCTTGGGAGAGCTGAGTTAGACATTTGGACCTGATAAAGTACATGCTACAAGGTACCCTCTACAGCTAGCTAAGATTATGTAGTAGTAACACTAGGCCCACAGCAATTGCACGTGGAGAAAGGGCAATCAAATTCTATGATGCGTAGTCAAGGTCACAAAGCCCACGTGGAGAAAGGGCAATCAAATTCTATGATGCGTAGTCAAGGTCACAAAGCCCACGTGGCATATCTTTTTTTCCTCTGGTCATCCCTCCTCCCCTTGTACCTTTTGTTGTGCTCATCTGACAAAAGAATATAGGAAGCCCTTCAAGTGTGCAACAAAGCCCCATAACTTCATTTCGTCTTGGCAAATTCGAAAAATTTTTGCAGAAACAGATTCGTTAGGCAACCCTTAGTGGGCGACATTTCCGAGCAATGTCGCAAAACTTCACGTGGCTGGGCAAGAGGCGAACTGAAGTTTGCTGCTGATGGCACACGCGGCACGGCACGAACACCACAGTTTGTGGCACATTCAGTGGCCAAGTAGCTAGAAATCCGATAAACGCGATCGTGTCCCTGGGGGGCAATCGCTCGAGAGTACTGCCCTAAAAGTCGTTTGGAAACACGCCGCGCAAGAACTCGTAAGACACACTCACTTTTTCCGCATGAGAGTGATGAAGGTCATGAAAACCTTTTCGTAGAAGCTCCGCAACTTCACCAACTCTCGTACGTTTAGGGACTGCACGGGAGAAAAGATGAAAGAAAAATTAGCAGAAAAAGACTATATTTGCAATTAACAAAATGAAATTGAAAAAAAAAAAACATTTTGCATTTAGGAGTGCATCAGTCACATCTTGAAATCTAATCATAACACCTATGGGTCTTCGTCTGCAGATACAAGTGACACCACTAAAGGTACGGAGATTTCCTCAGTTTTAAGTGTGGTTATTTTTATCTTCTTTGGCGTAAATATTCCCGAGGCTGTGTAACACGAACATCCCATGGGAGCGTCAGCTACAATTTTTCAATAAATTATATTTCGAGTAGGCTTGTGCGAATTATCGAATGCTTCGAATATTCGAACAAATAATTGCTTGTTCAAATTCGCTTCGATTTGAATTTAAATTATTGAATATTTTCGAAGTATTCGCAATGAACGAATGAATGTATATTAAACCGCATGTAACTGATTGTAAAGGTGGTTTCACTGCAATGTAGGAATGCTAAGCCGTGAAAGCACTTACTCAGGGGAAATTCATTTTGCCGCAAAGTACCCTTTTAAATTTAAAGGGGCCCTGCAACACTTACTGAACAAGGTCAGAAAACGCTGACGATCGGTAGTCGAGGCTACCGAGAACATGCGAGACATGTATCATAGTGCAGCACACAGCCTGTAATTCACAATAAATTTTCAAAGCTCGAAATTGCTTTCTTCCCTCGGCAATTGACGCTACAAGCTCAAAAATCGCTGGTCACAGCCAAGAAGGAATATACGGCTCTAGTCACAGCCATTGGCTGATTTTGAGCACGGCGCGCTCGTCGTTACCAGGGCCGCCACGGGAGGTTAACGCTCGTCCTAGAGTACGAGCGTAAAAAACTGCGTATTTGAAAAAAAAGAAAAAATATGTGGTCAAGGTTTCGAGGTGTGTGTGACGTATTTTCTTTCGCCGTGCCATTCCTCCCTGCTTAGCTTCCAGCTATTTCGTCGGGACGAGAAGCGAGAATGAAATTGCAGCGTGCGATAAATTTTTGGGACTACGTTTGTACTGGACCGATTCTAGAAACTTTGCTGCGGTAAATTTGTGAGGCAATAAGAATGTTTACTGGCTCCATGGCTACTTAAAGAAGTGTTGCAGAGCCCCTTTTAAGGAACATGTCATGCTAAAATGAATTCATTTTAATAAGCTTATTGTGACAGCTTATATGCTCCAAGTATAATAAATTTTGAAACGTGAGGTATCTTACAGGTTATGACTCACCTACCCAACTACTACTCAAGGTTGTTTCGACTTTCTTTGAACAAAAAAAAAAAGGACATTTGCATAGAGCCCTTATTTCAATTCAAAGAAATATTGTGCAGGTTAGTTGGGTCATGATAAATATTCCCCTTTTTTTATATGTCATATATATACCATTCAAACCCGATTCAAAAATATTTGATCAAGATCACAGTTCGCTTCGAACCTAAAATTCACCATTTGCACGAGCCTCATTCTGAGATCCTTGACAACTCGATGACACTAATGTCACAAATGTACTCGTCTCATAGTGATTACGAGCCGCTATCCTTAGCTCCCAATGAAAAACTGATCCCTGAACCACAACAACAGCAGAATACAAGATTCAGAGCACATCTTCAAATATGTCACCCTATGAATAATTTATTTTTTTCTCTTCAGAAACTTGCAGCACTACTTATGTGCACACTTAGTTTCAGGGACCCTTACGTTCAACACTATCATCATGAACTTACAAGTTGGCACGGTTAAAAGTCGACCTCCTGAGCCTAATATTAAAGGGCCTGTCTACTGTCCTTCGTTGCTCTTCTGTTTTGTGTCGCAATAAAAAGTGTACCATGTGAAGTGTCTAACCTTGCAGCAGTTTCTTTGGAAAGTGCGTAGAAAATTTTAAAACAGAATTTTTCTGTTCGCTTCATGTCTTCTTCCATCGGTGGGTTGAATTCTCACAACACTGGTCAGTGCCGATGAAAGTCGAAAACTGAAACCGTGTGCGGTTTTTGCAAGCTTCATCAAGTTTGGTTAATAATAAAACATCTTAGTGGTCGTTTCAGGCACACACACTTTTTTGTTGTTCTCATGAGTGATGGCGGACGCCATAGTCGTGTTTCTCCACCGTTTGCTGGCAGGCATGCAGGCAAGCGAACACAGTGCTGGCAGTGCCACCAAGCGCCTATTTGAGCACGGGGAAAAAAAAAAAGAAAAATTGGTCTCTGGAGCAATTTAAAGCTGTCTCAAGTGCATAAAATACAAATTAAAGTTAAGCATGTTTGTTTTTAAGCAAAATAAGTTTACCTGCGAGCATTTATGGTACTACCAATAGATTGTGAAGATTTACCACATTCGCTGTTGGGTGGCGCTAGTGATCACTTTTAATCGACTTTCAACATCAAGTAAAAATTATAATTCTTTGTTTCTGGCCCGAAAGCACGCTTGTTGCCGCTGATGTGATGCACAATATTTTCATTTGCGCCACAATCAGAAAATTTTTTCTGAGCGGTAGACAGTCCCTTTAAAAGGAGATGCAGGTTGAAGAACGAGAGTTTCCCAAAAAAATTACCGATGTTTTGTTTTCACCTGTTTTCATAAGATTAATACCTCTACTGTTTTGAAAAAACTAAACAAAAAGAAATAAATATGGGCGGAGACTTCCCTAGAAATGCTTTAAAATTACACCTAAAGAGCACGAGATGGCAGTTAAAAGGCTGACAGTGTGCAGTCTTCGAGCAACGTGCCGCTGACAATGCGCCGCCCCTCGCCATTGTCGATCGCATGAAGCAAAGCGCCAAAGCCTCGCTTTTGAAATAACGACAGTTTCCCGCGCTGCTGCAGCGTGAGAACTGATTAAAAGAAGCACGCACTTGCTGCATTTTTTGAGGACTGCAACTGGCTTTTAAAGCCCGTGGTACGTATCGAGGGACCTCCATTGGCCGCTGCGCACCCGTGTGTGCTGTGAAGCCTACTTGCAGGGTTCGTGTCTCGTGGAGCAGCGCAGCTGAACAATGCTTTTCTCGTGTGTGTATCTCAATTAAGGATGAAGAAAGCCATAGCTTGTGTGATAGCTACGCTATCAACATGAACACTGTTGTGGCAGCGCACTCTGTAGGAACGGACGATGAGCAGGCGGTTCGATTTGCGGCAATTCCTTGCTTGCAAAACCAACGCATCATAAGTCACACAGCCATCAGCCGAAAATTCCGTGAGGCGGAAATGGATGCCATCTGCGCCAATCTTGCGAGACTGAGCAAGCTCTTTGTGAGGGAAGTTAGCGGGGACGACACTGCCGGTATGTACGACGGTACGTGGCACAAACACGGCCACAAGAGCCACAACGGCAGTGGCACTGTTATGTATGTCTCCCAACGCTACTGCGATAAGTCCTGTCGAATTTCGACCTAACTTTCAGTCGGCACAAGGCTCTGCCGGATGGAGCGGACAAAGTTTGGCAAGCATTTCATGACCCTGTGTGAGCGAAATGCCTGAGCGAAACTCCTCACAGTAGCAGTGGCCGCTGCAAGAAGGATTGCACTCTTTTGTGTGCAAATTTCATTGCACCTACTTTCAAAAAACAACATTCAATTTTAACTTTAAAAGTCGTTTTTCTCAAAATGCATATATCGCCATAATATTACTTTGTAATGTGCCCCTTCTTTTTCGAAATCTGCGTAAAATTTTGCCCAAGTTTTTTTTTGAAGTACGAGAATTGAGTTTGAGTTTATTGCAATTATGAATTGCAAATATGTTGCCTAAATTCCAGTATTTTTATTATATTAAACAAAAATTCTCTGTGAACCTTCACTAAGACAGGAGAAATGCAGACTTCCCATGTTAAAATTTTTCACGTATATTAGGAATTTTGTATGCACATCCTAATAATTTCGCATTCGACCCTTCATTTGAAACATTATGAAGTATCAACGGTTAGAAATTATGCAAGTTTAATGGTGAAAAAAGGGAAGGCAAAAAGCTTAGGCACGTATCTTCAAATACGCTCCTATTTAACATATTTTTCCATTTAGAAATTCACTGCATTATTGTGTGCGCTTTTAGTTTCGGAGATGCTAACATTGGACATTACGGTTGCAAACGCACACAATTCATCACAATTACAAGCCGCCCACCACGGCTCCCATTTAAACACAGACCATGAACCACAATCAAATACAGTCGATCCCAAATATATCAAACTCGAATATATTGAACTATTGGCTATATCGAACAGTTGAGAAACCCCCTTAGATACTCCACGCAAAAGTATGGAACCATGCCCTGTATGTTGAGCTCCCGCACAGCGAGACATCTGCTATATCAAACGTTCGGCCATGTTCATACAAGTTCCAATCCCTTTTGATGCACAGGTGACAAAAAGGCAGTGTTATTCCATCGCACTGATCTAGTCTGTTGCACAGCGCTTGCGAGTGCTCTGGTATGTTTGATGTGCGATGTGCAGGTTTTAATGAGCCGGCATAGTGTTTTTCAAAATGCTGATTGCCGAGGACACCAAAATGAGAATGTGAAGTGACTCTGCGATCTCGTTGCTATGTTCACATTCCCTTTCTTTTTTGCTAACGCACAATGACATGCGAGTCTGAAAACCATGGTCTTCGAAATGTACAACCTTGTGACATATATTATGTTTTTTAGTTCTAAAGCGCATGTGGCGGAGGCCACGCCCTTTTTTTCTAGTTTTTCACATCAAAGCAGCTGAAAGCAGCGGCTGCCAGCTACACAGCCACAAGTAAAATAGATATTGCGAACATGCCGACCATACGTCGACCATACGACGCCTTGTGGACTTCTGTACTTCTCACCTCATTCCTGATAAATCCTCATTCGGTAGTTGTACAGAACCTTGACCCGCACGTAGCGATAAAAATTATGACTGGCGCTTAGAGCAACGTCAGGTAAAGCACCGTCGTAAATATTTCTTGCGAGCCAGGTGACGACTTCGAGTGCATCATGACGGCTGACGACGACGTATGGTGCCTCAGCGAATTGTACGACTTGTCAGCGTTTGAGGGCACCATCTAGGACAGTGAGCAACTTCATCGGTGCACAAGATGATGTAGCTGTTGGTGAGTGCATTGACGTAGAGATCGTGGCTGCCGTTGCTGGTGCTGCAAGAGTGCACCAGTGCGTTTATGAATATGCCCACGCCTTCACTGCTGCCGATTGCCAACCTTTGGTCATGCTACAAAGCTTGCATCGGCGTTCTGCATCAATCAATGCTGTTGTGGTCGAAGGAGCTGAATTAGCTGATTTGGAAAGCCTCAATGATACTGAAGATGATTGCAACATGATGGCGCGCAAGAAGTAAGACAAGTTTAAGGACTAACTTCATGAAAATAAAGTGCGGTAACTTGCAGTCCACACATTCTTCTTCATTACACTGTGAGGGAATAGTTATGTTAGCGCTTGTAACGATTTACAAGCCTGAAATGCTTTACTTAGACCTTAAATATGCATATTTTGTTTTCAAATTATCAATATGATACCTACCTATTTCGCAATACCCTTCAAGTTCGATATATCAGGCTTTGACTGTACTAATATGCAGGAATGAACATAAATATACGAATACGTTGCTATTTGAACAATTCTTCTTCAGGAGCTTCTGTACACAATTAGATCTAGGTACACTCACGTTTCTGAGGTTCCGGTTAAGCAGCTCGCCGACGGGCAGGTCGGCGACATACGGTTCTGTAGTCATCTTGTCGTTGGTCATTCGGCTTATGATCAGGTCCAGCGCTCGCTTGGCCTCGGCAATGAGCTGGAACAGGGACTCCAGGGAAGACTCGATCTGCGATGCATGAATCCGCTGACTTCAAACTAAAAAATCTTTCACATACAGTCGAGCCCACATATAACGGCCCCACTTAAGACGAACTTTTGCTTAAAACAAACAATATCGGCGTGACTGTCAAAATATACATTGGTTCTATGGCACAAAATCGCACTTACAACGAATGTCTTCGAGCGCCGCTGATCGGTTACAGCGAACAGAGTCAGCGGTCTGCCGACTTCTCGGGCAACCAATTTCGACCACCGATCAAGCATCGGCGAGGTGCCCATACATTCTTATTGTTAACCGCCGATTCTACCTCCGCGCCCCTCTAGTTGCTGCTCTCCACGACCGCTTTTTGTTACGCACCCCTCCGTCCTTTGTCCCCCAGCTACTCTGAGCACCCCGCATCACCAGACGAGGCCCGTGTTTTCACACTGTCGCCGATCTTTCGAAGACCGGTCGCCACGTACCCTGTTTTTGATCGCTGGTACTGTCGTTGGTGTCACCGGTCTGGAGTGACCAGACCATATGCCAACATCGTCGGCCACCGACTGTATACGATAGTCTGCGTCTAGTGCACGCACGTACGCTACCCCACCGACTCTGATAATTTGCGATTCGTTTCGTGTTTAGGACTTGTTCTCGCTCACTTCCCACTAGGCAGCGCGAAAACGGCTGTTAATTTGCACGAAACGAATCGCGAAATATCAAAGTTCGCGAGGCCACGCAAACCTGCCGGCGCAACAAAACCATTTCTTGATCACGGCCACCGATTCTTCGAATGCCGCCGCACGCACCGAACGAGGTGGCCATGCTTTGACTTCTGCACGCGCTGGCCCTCTTTCTAAGTTTTTGTATGTGCGAGTTTTGCGGACCTTTCAAGCAAGCTACCCACCTTCCCGTGTGTTTTGATTTTCAAGGTCGCCCTCCTGCCGCATTCTCCCCTCTCTTTATCGCACTGAGGAAGGAATCTTTCATTCCTCCGTGTTTTATCGCAACTCCTTGCCCTTCTCTCGCAAGTCTGCTCTCCTCTCTTGATCACAACCCCTTCGCCCATCTCCACCGCTCCGCGACGCCCGCCACGCTGGCTTGAATTAGTTTCGTTTTCCGACTGGAAACGTGCCCAGAGCTGTTACACGTGTGTGCGCGTTTTGCTTGCTCTTGGTGTGCGTGTGTGGTCATGATGGCCGACGGGAAGACTAGAACGCTTTTTCCTGCCGCTCAAAAAAATAAAATAAAAACACGTCGGAACTGTGACCGCTTGGCTTGAGGGTAATCTGTGCGTTAGGTGCCGCGTTGCGGAGCGCTGGCTCATAGCTGTTGACCACCTGGCAGCCAACTTGCCGCTTCGGGCGTCCCGGTATTCAGCTGTGGAGATGGTGAATATTTCGTGGGTGCTGGTGACGGCTACATGTGCGCGAAACTATTTTCATGAAGTCGACTTCGTCGATCGTCGGGCCCGATGCCGAGCATGAAGCTTCCGAACAGGACTACTGCGGCGGCGATTTGTGGCAGCGCGTCGTTGACTCCGACCTGGGAGAGCGGGTAGGACATTTGTTGCGATGATTTAATTACGGCCGATAATGATGACGACACTGCGGAACCGTGTACGGATTGGTGCATTGTGAATGAAGTACGTGGCGAGAGTGATTTGGAGGAATCGGATTGCGAGAACGACGAAGCCTTGGAGCCAGCGCCTCATGCAGCTTATGCCACGGGCCTCGGCGAACGAGCAGCCTGCCGTTTTAAATGAACTTGAGACCGCCCTTATCGTTTCTGCTCTTCGAAAGACGTGCATTACGGAATTTTTGGGGCAAAAAAGTTTGTTTTCACTCCCAACCTTTCTTAAAAGCCGTGTTTCGTTTACTACTAACTTCGGGATACAGCGAACAGATGCCCCGTCACGCTCAGGTTTGTTATAAGCGGGCTCGACTGTACTCGATTTTTTTCTCACTTCTAACCTGCCCCTGCAAACCATGTGTTTTAACTATTTTGCGCTAAATTGGTTCTTAAATCTTCAGGCACCTTAGAAGGCCCCAAACCACTCATAATAATTTAAGCCAATTAAAAGTTCGCTCAAAATCCCCTTATAATCTGTGACACGGACAACTAAGCAAGAAAAATATTGAGATCAAAGGTGAGATATTCGTTTATTAGTTACTGTCAAGCTTCTATACATTTAGGGCTTGCTATACAACAAAAAAAAGAAATGGTATGTCAAATTACGTGGTGTTGTGGGGGAAAACCTAAGGCCTACTACGAGAAACGACATTGGGGGGGGGGGGGGAAGAGGGGTATTCCAAGTTTCGAACACTTGGCAAGCTTTAGTGTGAACTGAAGCCCGCGTTGCATTAGCGTTCTTGCCTCCCCCCAGCTCGGCCTTAAATGCAGTCACAACTGTTGGAACCGAACACTGAGGCCAGCGCTAAATTTGAATTTCAAGACTCGGACAATACGTAACTAACTCATTGTTTTCATCGATGAGATTTACAAAGTTTCAAACGAAGAACCTGGCCATCGCGGATTATGGGGTGGAGAGCTTTGCACTAATTCCAAACACTTTTTATGTTCTTTCATAGCAATGTATTGACCCTACAGCACACTTTTCCTCCAAAAACATTGACAACATGGCGACACACACGTCGGAGTTCAGTAAATGTCGAGTAAATGTCAGAATCTGATTCTGTACGGGAAGTCCCACCTTCAAGATGCGTTCGTTTGCTTCTTGCACATCCACAATCTGGAGGACACACGGAACTAATTAGTACCACAAGTTAAATATGACCAAACAACACATCTCGGAGGTGCACTGAAAAATCGATGTAACAAACTCAGATATACCAATCAAACGTTATTAAACAAAGTCGTACCTTACACAAAAGTAAGTTCATTATATCCAAAGATTCATTACATACAGGTGTATTCTTAATATTGTCTATTACAAGAATATTCTGCATTTACTTCGCTATAACAAATGTTTCGTTATACTGCCACGCTCCTTTCTCAAGTTTCCTTGTCACCACATTACACGTATATGTGCTTCCTTGTGCAACCACGTCCATGGACTATTGAGATAACCTTAGATGCGGTTATGCTCACAACGAGAACAGATTCTTCTGGAACTTACGTCGCTGCTAGCGATAGCGCTGTAATATTCGACGACACATGCATAAATGCCGACGCGCGTCATCCCTTCTCAGTCGATTCGCTGTTATCAGTGCCAGTGGCTTGCTGTATTCTGACTTTCCTTTTGCATGGCCACAAGTTCGGCCTAATAAGCAGTTTAACCTGAACACTCAGTCTGCTTCCTTCGTCCGCATCACGACCCCGTGAAAATATGGAGGTTTGAGTGAAACGAAATCACGGTTATAAAGAAGTGAATGAAGAACAGTCTTGCAGTTGATATAGTGTTAGGAATATACCTGTATAATGAATTTTCAGATATAGCACACTTTAAGGCACAGCTTGTTATAACGACGTTTGAGTGTACATTCAGGATGCGAGGGGCTTTATGCAAGTGAATGAAGAACAGTCTTGCAGTTGATATAGTGTTAGGAATATACCAGTATAACGAATTTTCGGATATAGCGAACTTTAAGGCGCAGCTTTGTTATAATAAGGTTTGAGCGCACATGCAGTGTGTGAGGGGCTTCATGCAAACGATGCTTTGCAAACCAAAGAAAGCACCATACTCAATTTGCCTTGACAGGCACAAGGGCAAGTGAGCGACTCACTTCAGGGACAACGTACGCGGCGATGACGGTCCTCTCCGCAAACGACAGGTTCCCAAACGTCCTCTTCACGGCTTCCAAAAGCTTTTGCAGCTGATTCATAAAAGTGGGCAGCCTGAAAACAAAAAAGTGTGTCATGATTGTCAGAGGATTGATTAGATGTGGCGAAAACATATTCCTCTGCACCAGCGACGGTGTTGGCAGAAAAGTTGCTTCGAAGCTTGCGATTGTGGTGAAGGGTGAGTAGCTGTGCAAACACATTTCTCTCCGCATCTTTAAGATGAAATTAATTAATGTGTTAAAAACTTTGCTATTCTCTTATTAGAGTATTTGTGAACATACCCCATTTAAGAAGGAAAGTTTATTAACTAGTACACCCAAGTGGTAGAGGTGCTTATAAACTAAATACTTATAAATTGCATCAATATGACTTCCACAAATGCTGGACACACTGATTAAAGTAATTCACTTTAACCGCATTTGCTCATTTTCATGACGTCTGGCACATTTCACACATTTCAGGTGAATAATTTCCCACATACAGACACCCGTCCAAACCATCGCTTTTTCAGCAAAAAAAAAAAAAGAGAGAGAGAGACTTGGAACTTCCTGGTAAACTTCAGCAATGACAGACATCTTAATTTGAGCAATGTATTATCTTAAGTAGAAATGACGCACTCTCAGTTAGTATTATTATGAGTAATATTTACAATGGAAGCGAAAAAGCATCGACGATTACAACGGAAACACTAAATTGCGACACATATAAATTGCAAGCATATTGCAGCTATGGGGGCAGGGCTTGTGTTATCAGGCTGCAACCGAATAAAGTGCGTAGCTGCCCCTTTTTGTTTTTGCTTTCGTTATGTCATCATTGAGGCGCGAGAGACAAGTGAACGACGCGAACGCACCTTGAGACGCAGTGCTTGATGAGGTCCTGCCGCTCCTCCCGAGAGAGCAGGTGCTTGTGCCGCGAGAACACGCCGCACAGGAGCAGCAGCTTGGCCGCCGCCACAGCACACTCCCTCAGGGCCTGACCCACGACGTAGCAGAGCCGCGCTGGGCTCGCCGTGGGCGAGGCGCAGCCTTCCCCGCCCTCTCCCTCGCTTCCGTTTCCGGAGGGAGCGCTGAAGCATTCCGCCACCGTCGCGGCGCACTGGTGCATGTCGCTGACAAGTGACATCACTCCTGCGCAGCACGACGAGGTAAAGGCACTGCGCTGGCCTTTGCTAAAGCAACACGCCTGCCTCAAACTGATAAGGCTCGTTCACACCTGCGACTACAGTCAAACCCGGGTATATCGAACTCTCCAAAAAACGTTTATTAGTTCGATATATGGCATAATTCGATATAGGCCCGGTATAGGTTTTCACACAACACGTTCGATGCTCTAACCACTGAGCTATCACAGCGGCCTAGGTTTTGACACAAAGGCACATAAAAAACAAGAAGAAAAGTACTTTATTAATATGGTGGCTTACTTGCGTGCCCTACTGTGGAACAAATGTCCCGGATTTTTTTATGTGTCAACAACTTCGCTGCCTGCGACAGCACCCACGCCTCCAGGTTGTCCAACGAGTCAAAGCAGCTGAGGCGGCAACCTTCCACATTCAAGCAATAGCGCCGGACCAACGCAAGTGCACTAATCACTTCGGAGGATGTAGGCAATGGGCCGTCGTCGATTTCCATACTGCTGTCGCTTTGGCTCGTGGTCGGCACGACGTCTGCAATGTAATCCTCATCCTGTATTTGGCCCATGATGGGGACATCATCGTCTGCACTCACGAACTCGTCGAATGTCGATCCGTCGATAGCACCCGGGAACTCTGCCAGCTCGTTCCAAACTTCGGTGGAAACACCTGCGGTGTCTTCAGTGCTGTCAGAATTTGAGGTGTCATCACCAGGCATGCGGAAGCCGGCATGCCTAAAGCAGTTCTGGATCGTCTCCTTCTTGACATCTGCCCACGATCTACTCAACATAGAAATAGCTCCGAGCAAGTCAATCTTAAGCTCCCTGCCGATACGAAGGTTCTGCAGCAGCCTCTCTACCAGGCGCTTCCGATAGCCGGCTTTCATTGTGCGTACAACGCCTTGATCCAGTGGTTGCAGTACAGACGTAGTGTTCGAGGGCAAAAAACGCAGCTCAATGTTGCTGAAGGTTGTTGTGATGACTCGACGAGCGAGCCGTAGGGGCAAAACCCTGAGCGCGGAATTGAAACGTAAAAGAAGAAGAGAAGAAAGAAGACTGGGGCAGTGAACATACGCAGCCGGCTTCGATGGTTGTCGGGGCTTTCGACTCCGTGTCCTGGGCGCACACTTCAGTCGAGCGTGACCTGGACGCCAGCAAGATATCAGGGTGCGGGACGTCGACGTAAGCTCGAGCCAGTGAGCTACACGAGAAGGTGTGTTCTCACCGTAGACGCTACCGCGACGGACTCAACGCCATGTTGCCTGGTGCTACGGTCACTGCAATGACGGTGCGCATGAGTGTCATCTTGAAAACTTGGTGGCGCGGGAGTTAAGTGCATTGAGTGTTATGAAGTAGACTTACGTCTCGTGTGGACAGGAACTTGCCAGTAGACTTTCTTTAACCTCACATCGTCCTGATGTTCTTTGTGAGGTTTCATCGTGTGTGTTCTTGTCCTCGTCCAATATAGAGAACGTCTTCGTGTTATCAGCTTGTCTTGCGTGCGTCCGGTGACCTGGGCCCATTGAGTAAATGCCTTACTCACCACAGTCGTACTGCAGTGGTGCGATGAACAATAGTCCACGAGCAGGCACACCTTGCGATTTTCGCCTACCAAATCATCATTCCATGACGATAGCCATCTGCTGAAAAGCTCCCTGGTCATCCACACTTTTCAGTTTGCTCGGTAGGTAACAGGAAGCGACAGCGCATTTCGAAAACATTGCGGTGCCATGCTTTTCCCGATAACCGGAGGTCGAAGCTTTTTCGATCCGTCTAAATTAGCTGCCAACAGCACGAACACACGAGCTTTGTTTGCCTTGCCGCCGCTTGTCTCGTCGCCACGACACGCAAGTGTCTTGTTTGGCAACATTTGCGAAAATAGAATGGTTTCATCCGCATTGAAGATATCTTGGGCTCTATATCTTGCTGCGATATCTCGCCAGTTTTCCTCGAGCCATTTCTCTACGCTGTATAGGTCCGCTGCTCTGCTTTCACCTGTAACAGCTTCGCCAACGATGTCGTGCCGTTCTTTGAACCACTGAAGCCAGCCTGAACCGCCTTGGAAATCATTCCTGCCAAGCAGAAAAGCAAGGTCCTTGGCTTTCTGCTCGTTCATAGGGCCGGACACCGGGATGTTTCGCGACCAAATGTCCACAAACCACTTGTAAACGGCCGCTTCAACATCTTCGTACACAGCAGCGCGCACACGTCGGGCGCCATGGGCACCTGGCCTTTTGTCCGACTTGGCCCTGATGTCTGCCTTTTTTTGCAGGATAGTACTCAAGGTGCTCCTTGGAATTTCGTACGCGGCGGCGACGCCGGACTTCTTTTCACTGCGCTCAACCCGATTGATGATTTCGAGTTTCGAGGCGAACGGCAAATTTTGCCTCTCTGCGCAAGCCATGATGACAGCGCGCCAATACAGTTCACAGAGCACCGACAGGCAACACCACAGACCACGCTGAATCGGCAGCAGCAGGAATACAAGCATAAAGAAAGAAAAAATGGCGCTCACTTCTACCGCCTCCGCGCCTCGGAGAAAGCACGACAGCCTCTGATTGGCTGTAAGCGCTGCAAGCGGGCCAGGATCATTTCTTGGAGGGGGGGGGGGGTGTTCGCCCACACACAACCGGGTCTAACCAACTTTTTCTAGGATGGCGCCAGCACTTTTCCCCACCACTGCGAGGGAAAGCCAACTTGCTGGGGCACTTTTGAGGCACATGGAGTTTGATATATCAATTGTCGTTGCTATTTTTGTTCGATAAAACAGTAACTTTTGCTGTATATTCTCAATGTAAACTTACCGTGTTTAGGAATTGTTCGATATACGAGATAAATTGATATAAACGTGTTCGATATAATCGGGCTCCACTGTAGCACCAGTCGAATAACGAAGTTGGTCACAAATGCCTGCTCTGGTCGCAAAGCGACCGCTTTGGCTCGATAGCTCGCTGCTGGACTTTGCCATCACAAACCTCTGGATCAATCAGATGCCAGGAGTTGAATGGAAACTCACCTGGTCAGGAACAGACATGAAGACAATTAAAACAACACGCTGACTACGAAAAAACCAAAAAGCAAGACGATTCTGTGAACAAGGTTCCTGTACAGGAGCCAAAACGTCTTGTTTTTTGCTGTTATCGGGGTCAGTGTCTTGTATCAATTGTCCTCACCAATCAGATGAGCAGAAACAGGACACAAGTTTACTTCACAGGACAGCACCAATGCGAGCAGGCAGCGATTCTGAGTATAAGTTACAAACAGGTGTGAAGAACGGTCAACTTGAATCGCTTGGCGGTCGCCAGTCGCAAATTGGCATGCGACCGGTGCTAGTCGCAGGCATGAATGAGCCTATAAAATAGTAATATCTAAGGTTTTGTGAACAAAAACAATGATCTGCTTATGAGGGTCACTGTAGCGGAGGCCTCCGGAAACTTTGAACATCTTGTGTTTGACATTCTCGGATGTTGCACTGTACGCAAGCCTCCAACACATCCATCGAAACGTGGTTGCCGCAGACGGGACGGAACCCACAACTTACGGATCAGCAGCCGAGCACCACAATCACTTTACAGCAGAGGCGAACCATCTCAAACTGAGACGTTTCGTCAAGACTTCACATCCGAATCCATTTGTTATTAGCTCCATATGCTGTCCAAATAATTTTGTAACACTACCATACAATATCAGAGACACTATGCAAGTTATTATCGATTCCTCAACATTTCTGTAAGCGGTGTATAGAAAGCATAAAAGATTCTGAGGTTTCCCATGTTGAAAGCCGCGTCATAAAGAGATGCACTCCAACATTTTTTCCATGCCGCAGCTCTTGCAAAAGACGAAATTTTTTGACTAAGGAATGCTAGCCACAGTGACCTTGAGGTTACGGAGAGAGCACGAAACTGCTGTAACACATACGAAATGTTTTAATGTCGCGAACTATTCTACTCACGCTGCTTGACGGCCATGTTGCGGAGGAAGAGCTCGCAGAGGTGGACAAGCCGCTCAAATCCGGTGGCGGCCGGTGGGCTCAGTAGTGAGACGCACGCCCTCGCCGTCTCCTCGGTAAGCGTCGGTGGTAGGCAGTCGGCGTAGATACAGTGCAAGGCGGCTGCGACGACGTCATCGGGCAACCCGTCCAGAGGGCTGGGCTTGCTTTCGGCCCACTCCACAGCTGGACAACTTAGCCGCAGAAGGGTCAGGTGAACGGGAAACTGCAGCCGAAAAAAAGCCAAGCGCTGTTCAACAAACCTTTTTCATAAGTGAGAAGCTAGCTTTCCTGCTTGTGAAGTTCGCCCGACTAATGGCAGCTACAGCCACTCACTGCAAACAGCATATTGGGGCGTAGCTTGCAGTATGACTTGCGAAATGCGGACTCGGTTTTCTCAATGTAAATGTGCATTATAGACAAGTCCCAGAAGGGGCAACTAGGACCTCGTCTACACTTTAGGCGCAATAGGTGCCTCCATCAGCAAGTCGAATATGCTGCGCATGGAAGCACACTTGCGGACTATGAAAATGGTCTATTACAGTCGGTTGGCTGCACAGTCGAACGCAACTGTAATTTAGAGTTTGCTAAACACTTCGGAAGTATTCAGACAAGAGCCTTATATGTCTCATCAAACGCAAAGGTTGACTGGAATCCCCCATCGAAGGCATCAACACGAGCAATGCCGTCAGATTGTCGTCACGTGACGACGTTGGCTTAAATGTCATCTTGATTTCACAGATTGCCAAAATTTGTGCACCATCATGAGACATCACGTAACGTGTCATCACACAATGACATCATCATGACACTACTGCTTAGTCAAAGGTCAGGCACAGAGAGAGAGAGAGAATAAAGAGAAAGGCGGCGAGGTTAACAAGGGCTGAGCCCGGAAGGCTACCCTGCAATGGGGAAGGTGAGAGAGGGAAGTAAAGTTATAAAGGAGAACAAAAAAATCACTGACTGGGCTGACGCGTAAGAGCTTCCCGTTTCACATCACAAACGATGAAACAGGCTAGTGTCTTTGAGAAAATGCAACAGCGCTTTCATTTCCTTTTGGAATTGGATTGGGCAGCGCCATGGTCCCAATACCTCCTCAACAGTGAAATCACTTCTGTCCAGTTGATTTAGAACACTGCGCAGCTGAAGCCTTTAGTTTGTGTCCTGAAAAGCTTATGGTCCTGAAAGCATAGCAAAACAAAGTTAGTTGCAGAAGCTTTTAGAGGTGACCTTTTGGCCGAAGTCTGCCTGGTTGGCATAGAATTGAAGAAATGGAAAAAGTCCGACCAAAAGTTCATTAAAAAAAAGAAAAGCTGCCTTTATAATGTCAGGGTATTTTTATGTCTTATATGTGTGTGTGTGTGTGTACAGTGTACGATTTATGTAGTCCGGAAGGCACACGTAGTCGTACAAGTCAATGCACATAAGTCGCACTTAATAATTTCCTTGTCCCCTTTTGTTTTTACTCACCCTGTTTAAAACAGGAACCATCTAGTCCAATAGCAGAGCCCTGCAGTTGCTCTTGGATTCACCACCATGTTAGCACATGAGCTTCTGCACCACACTGGTACACATTTAACTGAATGACTGTGCGTGTTAAAAATTGCAGACCCCTACATGACATGACTCACCTCTTTTCCGCCTTCAGCGGTGATGACAGTGTCCGAGAAGTATCCCTCGTCCAGGGCGGGCAGGTAGGAGAACGGCTCGTCCCAGCCGACCTCTTTCTGTGCAAGCTGCACCAAAAAACGGACACCAGTTCTCTCATTGAATGAGCACGACTGAGAGCTACGAGGTCTCTTGCAATCGAGAAGCAAAGGAAAGTACGTCATACAATGTGGTGCAAACCCACGTTTTCTTACACCTTGCTATATTGTTTCTCAGCCAACTAGCCAAATCGTACGACCAGTGAAATGTCCACATAACAAGCCGCAGAATTGGCAGGTCAACTCACTTGCACACACTGTTTCTGTGCAGTGCTCTGGGGACAAAGGCATGTTCCGAAACACGGGAAGGTGCCCTCCGGCAGTCCCCGTGGGGCTTCCGATCAAGCGTACGAGCTGGCCACACGCAATTCAGTCCAAAAGGAAAGACAAAAAAAATGCGTTCTTCATGGCGGCAGCGTAACCTCACCAACAGGTTAAATGTGAAAGCATTGGTGCCACTTCTCACAGTATACTTTGACTACAGACCTTGGTGAAACACCATTAGAAGAAGCCGGACCAAAGAGGTGCAAGCGCCATGCATTGAAAGCAACTTGACCGGAAATGCAAGCATTGCCGCACAACATGTCATACCTGTGCCAAATGAGCACCGGATATGGCATCAATTTTCTAATGTCTCAACGGGTACAGACACCATTCTTCGGAGATAATTTTTACACTGCCATTCAAGTCTCTTGTATAAAAAGACGGTTCTAAACAAGTGTGAAGCTCAGCAAATGCTGATAAGACATTTTATTCTGGTAATAAAGTCAATTTTACCACAACACAGCGATCGACATCGACACTATCTTGACATCTGGCTACAGTACTATATCTGGTGACCTCGCCCAGCCATCTGGCTACTTGTGATGACGCCAGGCACTAAAACTTCCCAAATGGCCGCTTGCACGTCATTAAAAACATTCAAAATGACTGCTTATGCATCACCAACAGAGTCACTGCATGGAGAGCCCATAGAAATGTCAAAATACCTTGTGTGAGCTTTGGGTCTTTAGGATAGTTGTGAAAGCTAACGCCCTTTTCGCAGAAAGCTGATTGTACAGGAGACACAAAGCAGTACTTCACAATTTGCGCAGCACTCACCACGGAGACAAGCGGGCGCAGTTCTAAGAAACAAAGTGCTATGCTTTTAAATTGAACGTTAAAAGTGGAAATTCACGGTTGTTCAAACACCGTCGGTAGACGCCACACACAAGATAAACAACTGAACTGCTTCTTTGTCCAGTTTTACCACGACAGTGGCATATACGACGCCAAGCCTCAAAACTGCGCGAATCCCCGAGCAGACGTCATACAGGCGTCGTGCTGAGACGTCCCCCGTTACGCCACCGATTGCCAAAGAGAGGGAAGACCACTCAACCTCTTGTCTATCCGGTTCCCTCTTGGCTATGTGTCTCAATCACTTTCCACATACAGGAATTCGTGCTGGGGCAGGGAAATAAGAGACGCTACGACCTGTCTCTGTTTACTGATTCATTAAATTTAATACTAACTGCAAACATCGTATACCCGCGTACATCAACCACTACACAAAATTATAACACATGATTTAGGCACTCGCGACGTTCGACACAGGGCAGGCACGTAAAGAAACTGCTACAATACAAGGGTATGCATATAAAAAAAAACACAACGACACAAATGGTAAAGTCATTAATTAATAAAACCGCACAATGTCTCAATATGCCGCATCCCTTCCCGCAAAGCTCGTTTAAGTAAGGGAGATGAAGTTCGTCTCACAGAATGTCCATGTAGTTGGGGCCTCGGAGTTGGCTGCTCGAATCGAGGCCGAAGGTTGGTTCTTGGTGTCGAGGTCTGATCTGTCCAATTCGTCAGCGTCTTCATCATCTTCGTCATCGTCGCCTACGTCGTGCCTCTCAGTGATTTCCATCTTAGCCCTCTTCATAACGCTCCATTCACTCGCCTCGCATCCCTAACTTCCATTCCTCATCGTACCGTCCTTGCCCCAGTCATCATCTCATCGTCTCTCATCACTATCTCTTCGCACCCTTATGTTTCTTCTCCATTCTGTCTCTCTACCATCTCGAGCTCATCGCATCGTATCTCTCTGACTCCCTTCGCATCGTATCTCTGACCCTCTTGTATCGTCTCGTAGTCCCTTTTTGTAGGACCCTACTCCGCCCTACCGGGGCACCAAACCTAATCGCCACTATCGACGCTGCATATTTTCTTGTCAGTCAGAGTATGTCGTCTTCGACGGCCGCTCCCGTGGCCCAGATCAGTAGAAAACCCTCTCCCAAACAAAGCCGAGCAAGTAACAATATACAAACTGAAGCCTCAGGGAGAGAGATGGGCGAGCCGTCTGAAGACACTTTAATTACGAGCGAATAATGGTCCCGATGCTTTCCGTACTTGGTGAGCCGATGTCCTGACCAAGTCTCAACGTTTCCACGCAGCTCGGTGTCTCCCGCGAAATTCTCTGTAGCCGCCGCTTCTTCGTCATTCACCGCCGCGGGCGGCCATCCGCGCAGAACGCAGTAATGAGCCCTGTAGCCACGGAGGCTGACGGAAAGTCATACTGGACCCTGCACAGGCGCTGCGGCAGCATCGCATTCCCCGAACCAACAAAAGGTGCTCTGCTGCTCCCCCATGCCACAAATCTGAAGGGTGCGCGCAGATTATCTCCACCGTACACTTTCACACGGTCTGTAGACGACAAGGCGTCGCCCGGTCCTCGTGTTTGCGCGGGGGAGCCTGTGAGAATAGTAGAAATAATCCTTCCAGGTACTCCACTCCGGAATGCCCATTCGTTACACCGAAGGTTTTCTTTTCCCTTTTTTTTATGCGTGGGTTTGAGAAACGAGCAAAAACATCTTGAAAGGACCGGGGTTCAGTCCATGTTTGCGGGGACGTCACAGTGAAGTGTCGCTATCGGTCGCACACTAGGCCAATTATGCTAGAACTGCTTAGTTTAAAAGTTGCTGTTATCAACATCATCCGGTCAAATGCCACTAAATTGAGACACGTGGTAGCTCTGCAGTAAAAAAACAAAAATCATTCAGGAACTCAATGCCTTAACTGGCGAATGTCATTTAATGTGGCCATGTGGCACTGGTTTACCCCATGCATGCACATCGACGTAATTTTTAACTAATGCGTTTCCTGCCTAAATGTGTTTGTGCATCTTAACATTTTTTTTTCTTCTCCAAGCAACAAAAAAGATTGGCGTGCAAAATTTTTTAGCTTTCAGCCGCACAAAGGCAGCATCACTTTGCAATCTCTAGTCTACCATTGCTGAAAAGTACTGGCCGAAAGGACAGCACTTCAAATCAATCCATACAATGCAATACACACTTGCCTTGACACACTGCAACACGCACCATCCCTCGTAGATGAGGTTGATGCCATCTTCGTCGGCATGCGCCACCTACAAGCAAGGTTCACGGCGCCGCCGGTGTTGCGGGTTAGCAAATCTGTTCACTTAACTGAAGGCACAATTAATGCAGCTCGAAACACAGCCGTGCAAGTCGATTTGAGATAAGCTCACCCGAAACTCGATCATGTGTCCGGCAAATGTGCCAAAGAACCGTATGTAGTGAGGGTTCCCAAGAAAAACCTAGGAGAGAGAGAAATTTAGAAAGAAGGCAGGAAGACGGGGTAACATGGAAGCTTTCATTTTATAACACACACACACACAACATTAATTCCATACTGCTGATGTATCCCTACTGACCTCGTAAGTCTCGCAGCTGAAAAAAGGCATCTGGGCTGCGTGGTCTGGGATAGTCCACGACAGGTCGCCACTTTCGTCCAATGTGAAAACGGTGCTGGAAAAATCAGGGATGGAACCGGTTTCAGATTATCCAACACCTAAAAGCCCTGTTCTGTCACAGGGGCCATTTTCTAATGCACTTTGAGGGTGTGCCCGTGGTCACCAGTGTAATTCGCGCGTTGTCACACTAGAACGTTTAATGACACTTGCCACAAAGCGCACTTGCTGCCGAGCGTGTTCCCCAAACTCATTTCGCTGCGCCGAAGAGTCTAGGCACGGTAGCAGTGGCTCGAAAAGAAGTCACTAACCGTAGCCGAGTTTATCGTGTTTTCTGAGCTTTTCATTATTTGGAGTACACTTAAACCTCAGTATAACAAGGCTGCATCTTATCCAAAATAGGTTCATTACATCCAAAAATTCATCATAACCGCCGTTCTGTATATCTGGGTTCTTTATATAAAGGTTTGAGCGTACTCATTGGTAATAAAATGTACAACACCACAAGAAACTAGTATGCTATACTCATCTTCAAGAAGTTTACGGCACAAAGGTTTGAGCGTATTCATTGGTAATAAAATATGCAACACCACAACAAACTAGTATGCTATACTCATATTCAGAAGTTTATGGCTGTAGACACATGGGCATGCCCAGCACAAGTCGTGCAATGGCCATGTCCACTGCATCTGTACCTAAAGTATGGGCAGCTTACATCAGTACATAAAGCTTATTTCATAGGCTGCTCATATCTGGACTCCACACTTGATTCCAGAAACCCGTGATTTGTTAATGCACACCCGAGTCCGAGAACAAGGGTGCCCTCGCATTTCGCCTTCGTCGAAGCCCGGTCACCCCCCTGTATTGAACCCTTGAGCTCAGCAGTTTGACGCGATAGTTACTTACATTACCACACTGCGTAAAAATGCAGAGGCCTTACGTATAAAAATCAAAATGTCCTGTAGCAATGCTCAGTGGTTGAAAAATTTGCAAGCGCCTTCATCAACATATGATCTACGCACACCAACCATTTCTTTGGCTTGCAATGCTTGAACGTGCTGAAGGTTCCCACATCTTCGAAATTGCCCATAACAACAACAACAGCAGAAACAACAACAAGAACCAGGCGAAAAGGAAAAAGACAAAATTACCCTTCCACCTCTGTAACTTCGGTGCCCGCCGCAAGTGATATGCATTTTGTTATCTGCAATGGAAAAAAGAAACATTAAAACTTGAGCAAAATTGCATGCTCATAGTAATATTAATCAGTGCAAATAGACAATGATGGCAAAGAAAGTATTTGGGTTGTTATTGGTAGTAAATGACAGAAAAGTGGACAAAAAGATAACTTGTTCAGGGCAGGAACCGAACCTGTGGCCTTCGAATAAAGCGTTCGATGCTCTGCCAGCCGAGCTACCATGGCAGCCATCCCCCCACCAACCTGATGGGCCACCAGCAGCCATAACAGCAAATGCAGCAGCCTCTTTTTCTGCCTGTTGGTGCTGGTGGCGCTTACCGATGCTACCACACTTAAATGCACATATATACTTCATAAAGTGAACAGGGAGATGGCTACCACAGTAGCTCAGACCGTAGAGCATTGAACGCGTTATTCGAAGTTCGCAGCTTCGGTCCCTGCCTGCAGCAAGTTATCTTTATGTCCACTTGTCTTTCTTGACATTTACATTACATCTACAACGGATAACATCCCCTATACTTTCTCAGTAAGCACTGTGTGTTATTTCTCATTGATATTGTGTCTGACAAATAAAAAGCCCTAGAATTCCCATTTCTTTTCTTCATGCTGAAAGAAATTCACAGACACATCGCAATGGCAGCCAGCAGCTATTCAACAGACAGCTGGCTACACTGCGCACTTAGACTAGCAGTAGCAAATCAACCAATCTTCTTTTTATTGATAATGCACTCGCTTTGACGTAGACTATAACACGCATTAATGTATTACTACTTCCCATGGAAATCAAATACATAATAAGAGCTCGGGATTCACATGTAAAAACCACGACGCGATAAACGAGTGGGGGTCTGTAGATTTAAATATCAAATACATCGGCAGCGGGGGGGTCCTCAACGTTCGCTTAAATCTTAGTACACGTGCATTCCTTGCAAATTGCCCCACCGAAAAGCGGTTGCCGGTCGAACCCACACCTTCGATTTTTTGCGAATGAACGATTACTTGTTATATAGTCCGTACAAGCAATCTAGTCTACTTTAACCGGACATCTCGTCTGGCCGACGCCTGCTGACGATTCCTACAAATCGGAAACTGAAGCACAGTCCGCATTTTTTTTAATGCTTTTAGCGCTGCTTAATCCCCCGACGTCGCGCGCTGACGCAAGCGAAAGCACAGGCCGGATTTTATGAAGCGACACTCGTCCCGTGGCGAGAAATTGGTAGCACATATCTCGCTTCGTGAAAGAAGCCCTTTTCTTTGCGAGTGACACCGTCTCGCGAAAAACAAAAGCGAATACATCAAACAACAACAACAACAACAACAACAAAATGAAACGGTAGGCTAGCCGTCAGCGCTTAGCTGCAGCTCTGACCGCTCAACGAAACTAGAGGATAGGAAAATAAATAAAACCAGCACCAGAGCAAATGAAGAGACAGAAATGAGGCAGTACTCGTAAAGTGATACGAGCTCGTTCGTCGCCGGGTATTTTCCGGAACGCTAGCAGCACATCTACATCAGCTGTGCAGGAGGAAAAAAAAAAAGTAAACGAAAACAATATCGGGGGAGCTGCCCAGGAAACGAAACGGCCAAAACGCTCCCCTCTGCACCATTCTCTCGGCGAATCGCTATCCAATCTAATCGCGAGCGTTCGTTATGGATAAGACGTGAGGCCGAGACAGGCACCAAACACTGAGACCACGCAAGGATGTAAACAAACCACCCTGCTCCAAGAGAGAGTGCCAAAATGTCACTGCGGCGATGGAAGGTCCTATAATTAAGGAGTGCTGGAGCCTAACAAAAGGGTGCATGCAAGTCGTGAACAACTCGTTAAGAAATGTGAACAAGTATTCTACGCTTTTGGACTATTCGCCGCTTGGTAAAAGGCCCTGAAAGCGAGAAATTCGGTTTACTTGCCTTCCAACTACCGCAGTAAATGTTTTCGTCCGCCATTGTTGACTAGTGGCGGTGGCGATGGCGCTGGCATCGTTTCTAAGAGCAACGGCGTTGCTACGCGGTATAAGACGACGAATGTGTGCGCATTTTACCCGCGCATGGCAGAAAAGCGTGCTCCTGCTCTAGATAAATTTCGGTAATCGTTCGTAGCTACGGCGTTTGCGCGTGTGACCAGCGTAGTTCGGGGCAAGTGGATTATAGAAACGTGAAACCGAGGTCAGGATGAGCTGCACGTGACAAGCGCGTGTGTCATACTTATCGCCTTACTGATGTATGTTTGTACTCGTATATTCGTAGTATTTACAATTTTGTTACATTACTACTTCTTTCATCTTAAACTGGACGACATTCAAATAAATAATGAAGAATTTCTTCTGAAAACTACCCGGTTCTTGGCCAATCCCCCAGCGTGGACACTGTCGAAATTTGGGCTCGTTGGTGCATTGTGACGACAGAAAATAGCGCAAAGAAACGGGGACACAAGAAGAGGACACACGGCACAGGCGCTAACTTCCAACATAATGTTTATTACCACCGCACACTCGCCTATATCACCAAGAAAAATAACATCACATGACATGAATGATGCACACAAAAAATTAATTTCTTAGAAAATACAATTCTTTATCACTGAGCGTAAGAGAGGGAGTACTGACGCACTTAGACCCCAGTGAAGCGATAGCCTCAGCCTCAATAATCTCTCTAGTAAGCTTGTCAAACATTCTCTTGATAACTGTACATGCATTGAATATGACGGAAAACCCAAAGGTTGTAGTAAGAAGCATCGAACTGTTTATGTTCCCTGTATCATATGCGTTGTTTATCGTATCCCGCTTTCTTGTGGTAAAGAGTATATTGGACAGACGGGCCGTTGTCTTAATGATCGATTAAGAGAACATTGTAATAATGTGAAAAACGGCCAGGGAAGTTGGTTGGCCATACATTGTAAATCTTGCGGCTGCGCGCCGATATTCAATGCATGCACAGTTATCAAGAGAATGTTTGACAAGCTTATTAGAGAGATTATTGAGGCTGAGGCTATCGCTTCACTGGGGTCTAAGTGCGTCAGTACTCCCTCTCTTACGCTCAGTGATAAAGAATTGTATTTTCTAAGAAATTAATTTTTTGTGTGCATCATTCATGACATGTGATATTATTTTTCTTGGTGATATAGGCGAGTGTGCGGTGGTAATAAATAAACATTATGTTGGAAGTTAGCGCCTGTGCCGTGTGTCCTCTTCTTGTGTCCCCGTTTCTTTGCGCTATTTTCTGTCGCCCCAGCGTGGGTGTGTGCCACTGTCCCCGTGGACAATTCCAGTGCTTACGCTAAACGTTCAGCCTATGATGATTTTGCTTGATTGGTACAGTTTAAAACGCACGATCAGTTGATGGCGCTCAACACAAAAGCATCCGGATGATTTTTTTTCGGGGGGGGGGGGGGGGGGCATAGGCAAACAACATAGGGGTGGGGGACACTCACCACAAGTACGTAACCTAATTTCCGTGACATGACCGTACAACGTGCGGTCATGGTCATATAAGCAATACTGAAGGCTATCTCACAGAATTGTATGAGTCACGAGCCTACTAATCAAACTGTGTAGGTTTTTGCTACTGCATATAAAAATATTATCCAAAATAACAAGAGTGGACCGCCATCCCCTTTGCACCCCCCTCCAGGCGCCCATGCATGACAGTCATGCAATACGAAGAAGAATAGTCTGGATATTCGAAGGCAAATCAGCATAGGAGGTGATTCGCAAATGGTATTTATCGCAATATATTAACCAATCAAGAACTTGTTTCCTCACTAAGTCACGTGGATAGATTGGTGGCTTCACAAATTAGGCCTAAAGGATGGGAAGTTCCAGGAGAGAACAATGTTTTCGTTCTTGTACATCTGAAGTCGTTTAAAATACCTTTCAAGTTCATGCGCATATGTGCAAATCTCGGTGAAAGCTGTTGCACATAAGCTGATGGTAGAGATGATGTCCCAGCGACACCGTTCTCTTTGAGTGAAACGCAAATACTTTTTTGCACTACAAGGCCGATTTGCTATCTTTTTCAAGGCACGTATTCTGAACTGCTTGAGGACGTTATACTGCGTATATATTCAACGAACTATAGCTTCCTTGTATCCGCTGTTGTCAGAGCGGGTAGTTCCCATTAGGCACTAATTTGAAACTAAGGTGGAAATATGTAACCAGGAATACAACTGGAAGTCAAATTGTTCCAGCTGGAAACCAAGTGGTCAGTTAACTCACAAACTATGACTGCATCGTTCCACTTACAAGCCAACTTGAACAAAGAAGAGTTGAACTGGAAGTATAACTGTACCCACTCGTGACATACAAAAAAACATCAGCAAACAATGCCAGTCAGTGCTGGTGTTAGACAGCAAATACCAGTAGTTAGCTGAAGAAGGTTAGCGTGGGAGACAGGCTCATTAAAAGAAACACAGATTGTAGATCATCCGCCTGCATATGCAATAACCACCATACAGACAGCCAGTAAAGGAGAGAAGCGCCTCCTTTCTAGATTGAATAAAAGTCTGGGGTGCAGCACATTTCGTTCTGATGCAAGAAATGAAAACCAAGAGATAATACCAGGAGTGCTTCCGTGCCTCTTTTCTGGACTGTGGTATGGCGATGTCACAGCCTTGACAAGGCTTTGGAATCGGGAGAAGGGCGGCGTCATGCTCATTCCACAGCCCCCCCAAAAAAGGACTATCGCGGCGCCCCCTTTCTGTATGAGAGTCTATACATGTTTTCAGAAGAGACTCTCTGTGTGTCACCATGATTACCATTGGACTGTGGTAAAGATCCATGGTACCCCAACAATGCGCTGCGAGAGCAGCAACATCAGCCTTTGTATAGCCGCGTGCTACACTCTGCAGTCCTCAGCCTCTCTTTGGTAAGGTCTAAGGTCTCAAGGACAAAAAATGGCGACAAGGCAACGCAATTTTCACGCAAGCCATCCTTTAATGCACCGCGTCCCTGCCGAAACACACCCGCGCCGCGACACGAGTCAGCGAAATGTGCGCGGCTCCGCACTGACAAGACCTTCCAACCAGTCTCGCGGGCATGACGACCTCACGACGTCGCCGTCTCGTCGCGTGTCGTGAGTGAGACTTGCACAAAAAGTCTTGCTTTCTGCCACAACATCGTCGCTTCGTCCAAGTCCCGCGCAGAAAACGCACCGAGCACGATGGCACGTTTGTCGAAAGGAGTGTTGCGTAGATGAAAAGTCAGGAACCAATATGGCCGACTGGCAGCGAAGCAAGGGTTTTCGTGAGTTGACCGCTAGGTGGTTCGCACGCGGGCATCTCGGAGTCCTCGCCTTTTGCCCCTACCGGAACTTGGCGTACGAGCCGGGTTTGATGAAGGTCATGTAGACGGTGACGCCGACGGTCACCACCAAGGTGACAATGAGGAACACCCCAAGCAGGGCCGCGGCGCGAAACATGAAGTGCCGCTCGGCGTACTCTTCGTCCACGGGATTCCTGACGACTCGGCGAGGCGCCGGGGTCCTTTTGGCGGGCATGGTGGATCTAGGAGGGTTGGATGCGTCGGAGAGTCAAGGGTTGGGACCTCCTTTTGGGAGCTGAAGTCTAGAGTGGAATGTAGACGGCTGGTCGCCCGCACTCGTGTACTGGTGCGTCGATCAGAGCACTCGCTCCCTTCGGTCAACCGAGTTCCGTTGACGGGGACGTCCTCTTTCACATCGGCTCGCGGCAATCGAAGGCTGGGCTCTGCACCGGACGTGGCACGTGCCGATGACGATACGGGCAGCACTTCTCAGCGCTCGAGAAGAAGACGAAAAGTGGGCAATGATATTTATATGTTCTCTTGGCCAATCCCCCAGAGTGGGTACGAGCCATGGATTAGAGGATACAAACAAACAAACGATATTTTACCAGATGCAGCTTCGTGGTGGCATCAAAGAGGCAATTCCAGCAAATCTCGTTTTATAATTTGCGTTATGTGAGTTAATCCTTGGGTGTTCACAAACAAGCAGACAAAATTTCAGCGCATATTTTTATTGATGTGATATTTAACAAAAAAATGCGGATTTGTTCGAGCATTTTATCTTCGATGAAGACATGTGAGTGACAACATTGGTGCCCAATGGAGCAGTGGGAGACCTTGCTCGCCAGCGAGGAAAAGGAGGCCCAAATGGCGCCCCTAGACCAGGCGCGGCGGGCTGCTGAGGTAAGTGGAGCCCTGGTCTAGGGGCCCCACCCACGTGCTTCTAACCCTCATTTCATTTTTTTTCTCGGTAATAAACGTTTTTTTTTTCATCCCGCCATCCACTCGCGAGCCGTGACGTAACAAGCCGCTTGATTTGCGCCCATCAGTACTACGACCAACGACCTTGTTCTGGGGTCCGATACAAGTACAATAGGATTATTTCAGCTTTATTCGGCTTGATATTGAAAATTGAATGATTTTCAGCGTTTGAAACTTAGGTAGAAAACGACGGCTTCCGTCCCCCGAAGAAGAGAAAGCCGAGTTGTCATCACAGGCGTGCCACGAGCTCGCGGAAGGAAACACTGCTAGTGGTACTGCCATATATATCGAATTTTTTGTCCCCCTTCTTTATTTTCGCTAATTTGTTTTATATATTCTGGTTCATTCAATTTTCTGCACTTTTTCACCTTTTTTTTAAAAGGAACATTATTATCGTTCTGTGTGGTGCCAGGATAGAACTGCTCTTCCAGAAGCAGGTGTCACGTAAAGCAGTGAGCTTCACGCGACACCTGGTGCCCTAGAAATGCCCAGACGAAAGAAGCGAACTATACAAGCAACTTGTGTCACTACAACTGTTTCACACCCGCCCCGCGAGCAGGCGGCGAGATGTACGACATGTACGTGTGTTGAACTTATCGCTGAAAATCCCGTAATAAAAGTTGTGTTGATTGGCGACAGTAGTGTACTCTTTTGCTGTAATGCGAAAGCAAGAGGAGCGTCGCAGGGCCCTGGGGAGTGTTGATCTGTTCAAAGCGACGCCTTGTCTTGTCTTGTCGCCTAGATCTTGGCTCATACCCACTTGGGGGATCGGCCTCAACAAAGCTTATGCACAGGCGCACTGACAATAGACACTGCCTCCAAAAAGTCACTTTTTTTTTCTTGTGACAGTGTCTGTTGTCAATGCACATAAAATTTCGTGGAGTGAAGCTTTTTCGAATAAATTCAGTTGCAAGTTATAGCGTTTCTTTCTGTGACGTGTTCTCTTCCTGAACGAAATCCCCGCTACCCTAAGCCAGATGCCGAACCAACTAGCCCCGCAACATCCCTGCTATTCGATATTCGTCCTTTTTTTTTTTTCGAATAGCCTCGGACTGGAACGGCCTTGCCAAGACAGTCTTTGCCACCACCTGCCCGTGTCTGTTTCTGCTATAGAGGAGCTTCTAAGGTTTCCACCATGTCTGACAGAATATCCTGAAGCTGGCAAGAAGAGGAGGTTACTGTAGCGTACAAAAAAAAAACACTTTATAGTAACAAAGTTATTGTATTGGAACAGTAACGCTTCCTATTTGTTTTTACATGTGACCAACCCTTATGTAATACCTCCCTGTGGGTCTCTAAGGTATTAAGCTGCACTGAAAGCGTTTTGAATTTTTAAGCATCCTCATGAGAAACAGCAGCTTGCACCCGGCAATGCAGTTTACGAGATCTGATGGTAGCGCCAGAAGACACAGCCTAGCGAGTAGGCGCAGCAAAACCGAGTCTTCCAATGCGTAACCTATAGCGAGTAGACGCAGCAAAATCGAACTTGCACGTGCATATCATTTTCTTTTTTAGTTGTGAGTAGGGGGGTCACGGCTGATTATGTAAGCGCCCAGGAAGCGTTTTTTGAAAACGTTCCAAAAAGGGCACTGACACTTGAGCGCGTCACTGTGTTCAGCGAGCGTTCCATTTTCTTAGTATCCCTGGCGGTCGGTACCAACAATGCTGAGGCGGCCCAAAGAGCTTCTTCGCGCCCTCTGGTCTACTGTTGGGTGCGCATGTTGCGTCGCAGATGCGCAGTGGGTATTTTGCTAGGTCTTAAAATGTCAAAGATTTATCCCAGTAAACCACGAATGTCCATCTATTAGATATACTATGAAGTCTTGGTTTGGATTACCTTTTATTAGGCCCGACGAACCGGCAGCCGACAGCTACGATGAATGAGCCAAGATGATGATGCTACGCGACAACGATGAGGATGCATGAGCCACACATGATAATGATGATAATGTACCGGTGAAGAGGATGCGTATACTAAATGCCCACATCAATTCCCCCCACGTGAAAGCGGCCAGCCTGGCCGCGGCAAGTCAAGGGGACAAAGAACGTCGCATGAAGGGCTTCATACGGGAGACATGGACGACCTCTGTAGTTCGATAACGGCGATCTGCTGGGGCTACAAGTGGCGTCACGCGATAATTCACTGGTGAAGTCTCTTCAAGAACTGTGTACGGCCCAATAAACCGAGGCTGAAATTTGTCGCACAAACCAGGTGTGCGAACAGGCGTCAACAGGAGCACTTCGTCTCCAGGTTGGAAGGATACATCACGATGCGATTCATCATAAACTAGCTTTCTGTCTTGCTGGCGGGCTTCAGTGTTTATACGAGCTCGTTGGCGGCACTGTGCGAGTCGTGAAACGTATTCCTCTGAAGAGCATGCAGATGAATTCGCTTGGCAGGTAAAGAAGGAGACGTCCAGGAAAGAAGTAGGGGAGCGTCCATAAACTAGGTAAAATGGCGAGTAGCCGGTTGTTCGCTGAATGGCCGTATTGTAGGCGAAAGTGACGAATGGTAGAACAACGTCCCAGTTTTTGTGGTCTGGTTGAATATAGGCGGCGATCATGTCAGCAAGAGTGCGGTGGAATCGCTCAGTGAGGCCGTTAGTCTGGGGATGATAACTAGAGGCAGTCTTGTGAGTTGTGCCGGAGGCCTGAAGAAGTTCGTTCACTAGTTGTGAAAGAAAGGCCCTTCCACGGTCACTGAGCAACACACGTGGAGCACCATGACGCAGTATAATGGCTCGGAGGATGAAATCGGCAATCTCAGAAGCTGAACCTGTAGTAACGGATGCCGTCTCGGCGTAGCGCGTCAAATGGTCAATGGCTGTTACTATCCACCGGTTTCCAGCAGCACTGACTGGGAGGGGGCCATAAAGATCGACGCCTACAACTTCGAATGGTGTGGCTGGGCACGGAAGAGGCTGTAGTTTACCGGCGGGAGCAGATGTTGGTAGTTTTCTACATTGGCAGGTAGTGCAGGACCCGACGTACCGAGCTACACTAGTGGTAATGCCTGGCCAATAAAACCGACTTCGAAGGCGATCGTAGGTTTTATGGTAACCAAGGTGACCAGCAGTCGGATGGTCATGAAGTGCCCTGAGGACTTCGGACCGAAGCGATCGGGGTAGAACGGGAACCCAGCGCTGACCGTCAGGATGGTAAATTTTGCGGTACAGCACCGAGTTGTCCAGCTTAAATTGCGAGAGTTGGCGACGGAGCCTTGCATTAGGTGGACGGGAACTGCCAGTGAGGTAGTCTATAATACGTCGACAGTATGGGTCAGCCAACTGTCGAGAAGGAAAATCGTGCGGGTCGTCCGAAGGCAGCTGGTCCATAGAAGCGAGAGAGGAAACCGCCGTAGACGTGGACTCCGAGGGCGTGTTGTGCAAATTGATGGCGGAAACCCCGAGTGGAGTCGCTGGTAGTGGGCAGCGAGAAAGAGCATCGGCGTCACTATGCTTCCTGCCACACTTGTACACGATCTCAAAATCATATTCTTGGAGGCGTAGAATCCAGCGTCCGAGGCGTCCCGACAAGTTCTTGAGTGTCGAAAGCCAACATAAAGCATGGTGGTCGGTCACAATGGTGAAATGGCGGCCATGCAGATATGGACGAAATTTCTGTACTGACCAAACGATGACGAGGCACTCCTGCTCGGTGATCATGTAGTTCCTCTCGGCTGCGGAGAGGACGCGGCTGGCGTATGCAACGACTCGCTCTCGCGAAGAGTTGTCGTGTTGCAGGAGCACGGCTCCTAAACCGCGGCCGCTAGCGTCTGTGTGCAGGAAGGTCGGTGCATCATCGTGAAAATGAGCAAGTACAGGGTCGGTCGTGAGGGCACTCTTCAACCTGTCGAAAGCCTATTCACATTCCTGAGACCACTGAAAGGGCATACCGGAAGCAAGTAGCTTATGAAGTGGTGCGGCTATGGAGGCAAAGTTTTGTATGAATCGTCGAAAGTAAGAGGCGAGGCCAAGGAAACTTCGCAAATCTTTTGGTTTGTCAGGGCGAGGGAAGCGAAGCACTGCAGCAGTTTTATCAGGGTCTGGGCGAATTCCGTCCTTGCTCACAACATGACCGAGTACCTTGATAGATCTGCTGGCGAAATGGCACTTTTTGGTGTTAATTTGAAGACCAGCGCCCGCAAGACAAGTCAGGACCTCGTCCAAGCGTTGCAGATGTTGAGGAAACGTCGATGAAAAGACAAAAATGTCATCGAGGTAACATAGGCAAGTCTTCCATTTGAGGCCACGC